GGAAAGGTGGTCAGCTTCTGGTAGGAATGAAGTACTGTTTCAGTGCCTTTGAAGGGTCTAACAGGAAATACCTTGCTTCAGCCTAAACTGCTGAGGGACATATTCAAGTGGATGGCACTCAATAGTTTTGGAAGAACACATTCCTCAAGTGCTCTAAGTTTCTGACCAACAACAACAAAATTCTATAGTTAGACTTTTCTAACAGTGATATTGGAATTAGGTAGCTTCTATGTGTGCATTCCATATATACAAAAATCTTCATGAAGAGTCCATCCAGAAACTTCATGGAAGGCTGGTTCTTGGATATCTGGAAGACTTGTGACATCCTCTGCTCATCCATGAATACTGACTACTGCCTGCCTGAGGGGCTGATAACCCCTCTCCCGCCTCCCCTAGGTGAAATCCCCTTTCCACCATTCTTTTACTGTCACTGCGAGCTCCGCTCTCTGTGAGCCCTGGCAAACGTGTCTTTTTATTAATTCTTTTCTCCTTGCCAGGGCCAGCTCATGAGTGTGAGATCTGGATAGTCTCACAAGTCCCCACACCTAGGAAGGCCCTGGGCTTGGTTTGAGGCTCTGCTGTCACCAACTTGAAAATCTTAATAATTTTTGAACAAGGGGCCCTGCATTTTTCACTGAGTCATGAAATCATGTGGTTAGTTTTGCTCCTTGCTAGGGAGAAGAATCATTCCACACAAGTTAAGAGTAGGTGGTATACCTGGGGTCCCCATTTTTTACTCAGCAGGCATTTCCTCAAAGAGACGATCAGTAATGGTGAATGGAGATGGTAAGACCTCCAATCTCCTTAGCTTCAATTTCTTCACCTCCGCAATGGGAACAGTAGCACTTACTCTTGCATGTTATTGTGAGCCCATCAGAATGTTTGATATATAATAGGTGTTTACCAGGTAAAATTCAAGGAAGACAGAAGGTACAGGAAACAGTTTGAATGCTGGAATTAGGAGCTGGGGTAGAATCATATCAGACTCAGTGTGCTGATCATTTCACAATATAGTATATACAAATATTGAATCGCTATGTTGTACATCTGAAACTAACATAATGTTACCTGTCAATTATATTTCAGTTAAAAAAAGAGAATCATATCAGTCGTACTGCTTAAAAAGTTGTATGACCTCAGTTAATGACTTGGCTTCTCCCAGCCCCAGTTCCTTTATCTATAAAATGGAAATGCTAACATTTACCTTGTAGAATTGTTTTGGTGTTTAAATAATCTAATGTATTTTAAAAACTGAGTTTATCACCTGGTATCTAGTAGGAGCTAAAAAAAAAAAATAACAGTTCTTAGTTTGGTTCCCTTATAACTCTATTTCTGCACTTATACTATACAACTTTCTGTATACTATATTACCTACTCAATGTAACCTCCTTGCATGTGAAAATAATTTTGTAAAAATTAATTGAGGATTATTTTTCTTTCTTTGCTGGACTATGACTCCCTTGCAGGCAAGGACCATGTCTTATTTACCCTTATATCCTAGAACATTTCCTAATATGTTAAATCTCAGTTGTAGCAAATCTTTCTTCTGTTCTTTATGTCAATAATGAAATGATAATTTTTGCTAAATTCCTAAGTTAGCAACTAATATTTAGCCTGTCAATGATTAGGAAGTAGAATGTATCTAAAATACATTCTTTACCATCAAAGGCCTTTTTTCCCTTGACTATCACACTTAGCTCATCTTTTTGCACCCTTGGGTCTGGTTCTTGCTCCATTAACAAAGCAATTCCACCAGGGAACATAGCTTAGTTTTATGCAACCAACCACCTTCCTTGGCAACAACCTGTGTAGAGAGGCCACTGAGGAAAGGCCTTGCTGGAACCCCAGTAGTTTGATGCCTGTTAGGATTCAAAGAGGCCTCAGAGCTGGGACTTTTAACCATTTGAGGGTTATGGATTCTTCCAAGAACCTTCTCATAGTTATGGGCAGTCTCTTCAGGAAAATATATCCAGTATTTTGCATACAATGTCAAGGTGTCCTCAGAGCTCCCACAGAGCTTGTGCCTCAGATTAAGCCTTGAAAACTCAACGAACTATGGGAAAGATTCAAGTTTCCTGATAAGTTCAACCCCAACTAGTCACATTTCCATGTTATAAACAAAACAGTTACAACTCTCCAGATTTAACCTCAGGGTTATCCCTGAGGGCCCAGTCCTGAGCATTAACAGTAAGGGCGTCCAGCCAACCAGTGGCTACTCTGGAAAATCTAAATTCAGCCGAGTAAAATGAAGCCTTGTTTGATAATATCGTTTACATTTCCAAATCCCCAGTATGGGTATCAAGCTTTCTTCCTATCCCTTGTGGCCCTTCCTAAGTTTAGCTGCTGGTGTAATGGGGTAACCATGGCAACAACCACCTGCCTATTTAAAACCATCTCCAAAGCCAAATAAGGAAGCCTTGAGAAAGTGGCTGCTTGCCTGCCTCTCAGTGGACAAATTGGGCACTTCTGGGTATTTTCACTGTGAGCAGGCAGGGGGAACTCAAAGGGGTAGCATGGGCTCAAAGCTCTTAATAGAAAGGGTTCTGGGACCTTGTGAAACAGGGTCTATCTCCAGGCCAAAATGGCTTCACTTATTAGCAGCCACGTGGATTTACATGCAAATCTCCATGCCTGTCATCCTAAGTGACCACACTACCTTAACCTCAATCAGGTGAAGGGCAAGGCACGTACCTAACTGCAAAGAATGGTCTTGTTAATGGGAACTGGGAAGTAGGAAGGAAAAACAGTCATTCAGAGCACAGTGAATTTGTTCATACATTGCATTGAAATATTTTTCTGTCAGAGGTATCCTTCTAATTGTATTCAGCCATGTGGGTGATTGATGATTCCTCTATTTATATCATATGTTGACCAATGGATTTTTGGAATATAGAGACATTTCTCTTTCCCTCTGCTTCCTTGCTTTCTACCAGCTACAGAGGTTTTGCTTCTTTCCAAGGCAACAGACCACAAAATTGATCACACTGCACAGCTTGCTCTTCCCCAAGCATGCTACACTCTTGCATTTCTTGGTATCTTTGTGTACACTTGGTTCCTTCCCCTTGGGTTGTTCCTCTCTTTTTGTCAACTTAGAAAGTACATACTTGTTGTCTGTGTCTTGGTTTGGGCATCTCTATCATTGGAAAGCCCTCCACACCAAGCTCCACACTCTTGCTTTGTGTTCCCATAGATCACCTGGATTCACACCACTTAACACAAATCCCATGCACATCTGCCTTCCAGTCTGTTTCCACGACTAGACTGAGAGCCCCCCGCCCCAGCCTATTCAAAACACCTCTGCAACAGCGCCTGGTACAGGGTATGTTTTCAATAGATGAATCAATAAACAGAAGCCCTGTGGATTTTACAAGCATGTGTGCATGAGTATGCATAAAGGCACAAGTATGTAAAGAGGACCGTAAGAGTCTGGAGTGGATGGAAGAGAAGGAGTATTATTTTTTTAATCCTCACCTGAGGATATTTTTTCATTGCTTTTTTTGTTTGTTTGTTTAGATAGAGTGGGAAGGAGAGAGAGAGAGAGAGAGAGAGAGAGAGAGAGAGAGAGAGAGAGAGAGAAAGAGAAACATCCACGTATCACATCAACTGGTTGCCTCCCGCAAAACTCTGACCAGGGTTGGGTATCAAACCCCAGAATCCTTGGTCCACAGGCTGATGTTCTAACCACTGAGCAAAACCAGCCAGGGCAGGAGTATTTTTTTTTAATGTGATTTTGGGTATATATGAGAGTGAAAAAAATTGTGAGAAGGCGATCAATTGATTTGTAAGTTTGTGACTATACTAGGAGTAGGGGCTGGAAGTATACATGTTAATAGTGTTTAGTGAGTGTGCATGATCTGTGTGTGAAAGAGCAACAGAATAAGCCTGTGACAGAATGCCCATACTAAGACGATTAGTTCAGCTATTAGATCCCACAGATCACTTCTCCTGAAGCTGAAGTAGTTTCATCATATTTAGTTTCTGATCTCTAAAAAGATTTTTTTCTTCCTGGCTAGCCTCCCAGCCTGTGGGGTCAAGGAAAAGGAGTAGAAATGAAAACGATGGAGCTTTTCAGGAATTGGGCTTTAAATGTCTTCAGATAACACCAGACCCCTGCATTAAAGAGAAAGAGAACCCTGTGGGCTTAACTCAAGCCCATCAAGCTCAGTGGGAGTCCTCCTTCCCCACCTGACAGATGGAGTGAGACACAGAAGTCATCTTGAAATGGTACAATACAGAGGAAAGACAAATCGTGAAAATTAATTAATGTGAAGAATAAAAAAAGAAAGAAGGAAGAAAGGTAATTCAACAATCCCAGGGATAGCTAAGTTATTCACTTCTTGAAAATTCCCTTCCGCCAGCAGGAAGGGGGGGTGGTTTTTATATGCAAATGATCTGTTTTTCTCTCTCTTTTCATTTTTGGACCTAACACCCCTAAATCAGGGTGCGAAGGCTAAGGCTGGGATCTGGTGGGCCCAGGGTCGCAGGCCCTCTGCAGGGGCTTCCCTCTGCTGCCCTCTGCTGTCGGGGGAGGCGGAGGCGACGCCCTCTCGATCCTCCGGCCCTGGTCTGGCAGCTGCGGCCCCTGGCCGCTGAGACCGAGGGAAGCTGAGGCCCCTGCCCCGCTTCCAGAGGAATCTCGGGGATGGGGGTGAGGGTGGTACATGTTGAGAAAGCGGCGAGACAGAGAGAGGTCCCGCTTAGCCAACAATAGACTCCACTCCCCATGGCTGCCGCATCACTCCCTTCCTCCCGCCCCCCTGCTTCCTCCCTCTGCACACCATCCTCTGGGAGGGGACGGGAGGCTAGACCGCGGCAGGTCTCTGACATTGTTTTCTTGTTGGAAATAGAAGCCCTCCTTCCGGCAACGTGGCAGGAAAGTGAAGTTCCTGGGCGGCTGGGCCAAGAACACTCGGGTGAGAGCAGGTGGAGGCCTCGCTTGGCCGCGGCGCGGGGCGGGGCTCGGGCAGCGCAGCGGGCTTGCAGCACAAAGGCGCTCTTACCTGCTGTTGAATTTTTCGGGGTGTTTCTCTCTCATCACGTGGAATCTGTGTGCAATGGAAGCATCCTGAAAGGGAAAGAGACAGAAAGCAGAACCCTGGTTAGTGGTCATGACCGTGCAATGTGGAAGAGAGAAAGCACAGGTTCTCACAGAAATCCCCCAACTCCAGGGAAGAACACAAGGTCCAAGGTTAGGGTCTAGTGCCACCGATGCTTTTAGACCCCTTGCAATATTCACCCTCTATGCTGCCATAGTTGAGGGTGAGTGAAGGGGACAGCTGCTTCCCTTTGAGAAGAGAGGGTGTCTGGGTTTGTCAGCAGTGAGAACGCCCGTGTGTGTGTGTGTGTGTGTGTGTGTGTGTGTGTGTGTGTGTACAGAGGCTGAGCCTTTGGAAATATCTTGCCATATCTTTTAAGACAATGCTTTTTTGAAATGTTTTAAGACTCACAAGAAGTTGCAAAAAAAAGTACAGTGAGTTCCTGTGTCCCTTTCCGCCAGTGAGAACTTCTTACATAACTGTAATACCTTGTCAAAACCAGAAAACTGATGTTGGCAGATGCTGTTATATATTAACTCTTAATCATCCATGGTAGTAGAAATAATTGGTAGCATTGGCTAACATGCTTAACTGGTTTTAAAAATCTATTTAAACTTCTGACTTCTGCTTCTTGATGGCTCCTGGAAACGTCTGTCCCCAAGAACGGGAGGAGTGTCATTACCACGTTCTATGGGCTCTTTGCTGTCCTCCTATTAGCACATCCCTTTGCTGCATTCTTGGCCACCTTCTCCTCAGAACTCACAGTGAGGATGGCTCCCATGGCACCATGCTTCTGGGTTCTCCATCCTCGGACCAGCATTTCTTAGCCCTGAGTGCAGTCCAAAGCCCACGTTCCATGTCATGAACCATCTCGAGTTCTCATAGTTGTTACTGGCATCTACATATTGTCTGCACAACGTATATCTCTAGTACCAGCCCTGAGCTTCAGAACTAAAAATGAACTCACACCCTGGCTGGGTTTGCTCAGCGGTTAGAGCGTCGGCCCTCAGACTAAAGGGTTCGATTCCGGTCAAGGGCACGTACCTCGATTGCGGTTGGGTCCTGGGCCCTGGACTGGGTTCTGCAGGAGGCAGCCAGTCAATGTGTCTCTCTCACATCAATGTCTCTCTCCCTTCCTTCCATTCTATCTGAAGATAAATGGAAAAATATCCTCAGGTGAGGATTAAAAAATAATAATAAAAATGAACTCATCTTTTCTCCTCAGACTTGGTCTTCCACCCTTGATAATGGTCTGGGGTTCCAGCAGAAGAGTGCCCCTTTATCCCTCAGCCCCATGCCAGCACTTCAGGTGCAGGTGACGGACTTCAGAAATGTAGGGGCTAATTGGGCTGGAGTGGGGGAGTGACGAAAACAAGAGAGCTGATTCAGATGTGTTTCGGGGGAAAACACAGAAACTCATTTACTGGAATATGTGACTAAAAAACCCCTGAAATTCCATACAGTGAATTTTCAGCTAATGCATATTAACTCCATTTCTTAATATGGAAAAGCTACTAAATTTTTTTCTGATTTTTTAAAAACACATAGAGGTATAGTGCAGTGAAGAAGCATTTTTCTGGGCATGTTCTGTGTTTGGTGAGTAAGATACAAGCTAGTGGTGTGGACAGAAAGTCCAGAAGCAAGTTAGGGACAAAGAGGGGCTTTTCTAATGTTTACACCCAGCAGAAGAGCAAAGCCAGCTAGCAGCTCACTACTGAAAAGTAGAGAGGGCAAGTCAAGAAATGGGCTTATTTTGTGGTTGGCAAACACTCTTTGCTGAAATCATGTCTTAAAAATTTCATGTTTAAGCCCTAGTTATTGATTTAGCGTTTAGTTTAAGACATATCAAGAGTTGAAGGTCTTGGTTAGGCAGGCACCCGTGTGGACACACAGTGGGACATGCAAAAACCCCTGGAGGTCTCCGTGCCCTGGGCCTGCACAGCCATCCTGACAGCTGTGCTTCCTAGTGCCAGACTGCGCCCACATCCCTCTCGCCGAGCAAATTTCAGTGAACACTCTGAATAAAATTCATTGACATCTGTCAAATGCTTCTCTAGAATTCAAGAAAACATTCCATCTGCTTATGTTCCTTTGAAACACCAATTTTCATCTGTCAGGGGAAAAAAAAGCAATCACACGTTGCCTTGCATGATTTGTACTCCATGACTCCCAGCCCCCCGTGCTGCTGTGACTGGCTCCTGGCTTTTTTATTCTCTGGGATGCGTGCACAGGTCCCCTCCCTCTGTGTAATTCCGATCATCCTTGTTTTTTCACAACTAGGTTTTGCAAAACTTCTTTTCACAAAGACCAGCCTCTACAATATTATCTGTCAAGCATGGGGGTCCTAATTTGACCGTGTAATTTCCTTGGTGAGTGAACACAGTGGCAAAGGAGAGTTGAGCAGTTCCTTTGCTGCTCAGTCTTGAAAAGCCAAGGCAGGTCAAGACTCCGACCGCGTTCCCCTACCTGGGCATGAAAAAGAGAGTCAGGATTCACTCTTACCCCAGAGCGTCTCTCTGTCAGGCACTGAGCTGGCTGTCCTCACATTCAGTAGTGATTTCATTTACATTTTGGAAACCAGCGCTACAGTGGTAATCGTTATAGCAAAATGAGACTTCTGTTCTGAAGGGAGTGGGTGTAGATGGGAACTGCAAACTTGTGGACATGATGTTGGCATTTCTGATGGCCTCCCTCTCTAGGGTCCTTTCTATGAAGTGTGGGGTGAAGAGGAGATGACAGCGGTGAGGACACATGGCTGCTCTTTCCTGAACTAAAACTCCAGTCGCACAGTCAGACAGAATAATTCTGTACCTCTTCCAAATCTAAGTGGCGGTGTTTGGACTCTGAGATGTTGGGATGTCCAGGCCAGTGATGTCCAGTAGAAATAAATTTAAAATGTTCTAGTAGCTACATTAAAAAAGTGAAAGGAGAGGAAATGAACTTTAATAATATATTTTAATGAACAAATGTTATCTTTATATAATTAATATAAGTATTATGGCAATATTTAAAATTCTTTCCTTCATACCACATTTTTGAAATTTAGTGTGTATCTCACACTCACAGCATCTCTTGATATAGACTAGCCCCATTTTAAGTACACAATAGCCACATGTGGCTAATGGCTACTATGTTGGACAATGCATTTCTAAGCCAGTTTGGCAATTTATGGAGATGAAAAGACAGAGAGGAGACAATGAAACAGATTAGTTGAAATTGGGATTGTTCTGAAAAATTATGGCAAATTGGGAAATAAAATGAGTACAGACCTCTTGTTCAAAACTCCTTTCAGTGTGTCCCATTGTTTTAGTACCACAAGTGACAGACAAAACCCTGAGGCTGAGGGAGTCCAAAGGTGCAGAGACAATGATGATTTAAAAAAAATGTAAATTCCCTAATGGGTAGGAGGTGTACCACTGTGGAAACTTGGTTGGTGAAATCTGATAAGTACAGTCTGTAAGGTGGAGAATGGTACCTGGGTTAGTGTGATGACTGTGGCCTCTCCTTGGCCCCCGGGGTCCCCTAGCATCAGAAATAGATTTCATTGAATCAAGGGATTAGCTGCTCACTCATTCTGTAAGGCTCAGTGAAAGCAGAGCCTGGGAGGCAGTCGGAGCCACACATACCCCAGGAATTATTTCACAGTCAAACTTCCTGTCACTGATACCTGGCCATCCTGACATTTCTGCAAATCCAAAAATAAAGAGCAGAGATGAGGAGGCCAGCAAAGTCAGAGGAAGTAGCATCCTGAATGACTATGTTTAAAATCTCCTGCCAATGGATGTTATCAGAGGGACTGGGAAGGCCAACTATCTCAACTCTTCACTGAAGGGAGCTGGCATGTATGTGGGTGATGGGACTGTGGTGACAATGAGGCCGTGGTCACTCCTTGAATAAGCCAGGAGAGTCTGTCCTGTTTTCCTTCCATCTATGAAGTGGGTTCCATTGGTAACAAGGGAACCAGTGAACCATCGGGGCAAGTTCTTGACCACTGTCATCACCTTTGTAAGTGCAAGGCAGCAGACATGTGATATTAATAGCTATTCCAAGTCCTTCAAAAGAGGCAAAGACTTTGCAAGGCTCTCTTTGCCAAAGGCGTCTGACTCTAATCATTGCAAGGAAGTAAAATTGTGGTTTGGTTTACATACCTACTTCTCCTCTTACAAAGTTTGGGAAGTCAAATAGGGAGCAAGAGCTTCTGCAAATGTCAGCCCCAGATTCTGTTCGGGTTGTGTGTTGGCTACTTGTTTTCTCAAGAATTTCCCTTTCCAACTTTTAAAGAGCGAGCACACAAACCCTGCAAACATTTTATTGCGAGAAGGCTAAGGGCACACCAAGGAGATAGAAAAAAAAACCAGTCCTGGTTCCTCACTGCTTTGCAATAAAATATTAAAATATGCACAAGCTAAAAGTGTGTGTGGAGAATTATAAGGAAAGATTATGGTGAAGTTCTTCATAATTTGAAAGATAAACAGATTGAATTATTATAAATAATCCTGGGGAAAATAAATACCTTGACCACTGAATGTGATGGAAAATCTGTTTGTATGCTTTTCCTTGGGGGACAATTAGCTGTGCTTGGTCTTCTCCCCCCGCTTCCCAGTTATTTGCAAGAATGAATGAAAACCATGATCAGTGTTGGTTCTTGGGATTAAACTTGGTTATCTAGTTGAGGGGAGATTGTCTATTCTCTTTTACTGTGTTCATCCATTTGGTCAGCTAATACTGAGTATCTTTTTTTTTTGCATATGGCACTGTGTAGAGACAGGCAGGGGGTATTTTTGGCAGCCAGCGCTTGGGTGTGTTAAGAAAGAAGATTTAGGGCTGAAGACTCTGAAGGCAGCCATGACTGCAACCGGCCCTCTAGAAGTTCCCAGCCAGATCGCCCGGGCCTGCTGCTCGGCTCTCACTTCTGGCTGGTTGCTTACAGTGCTGGCTTTCCCCGCCTCTCTGCCTCTCCTCTCCTTTATCTGTTTCAGTTCTGGTTTCTGCTCTGTGAAGAACCACTTCCTTTGACCATTCTCTGCTCTAATGAATGGTTTTCAGTCACTGAAGACTGTAGGGACCATCTACATCAGTAGGGGCTTGTTAGAAATACAAATTCCCAGAATTTGTCCCAGTCCAACTAAATCAGAATACAAATCAGGATCTGTCAGGGGAGGGAATTTGCATTTCTGACAAGGGGCGTAGGTGAGTCAGCCCATGCTAAATTTTGAGTCACCCCCATTCCTGCCACCCAAATGCTGTTGGTGTGTTGGCATGAAGACGGAGGGTTTGTGCAGAGGCTGCAGGCCTCGTGATCCACCGCTCAGTGGGCTCTGGATCCCAGCAGTAGTGGCCCCTGGCTCCACCACTCCGCCACTCTGTGTCTTTCTAAGCTGCACAAAATGCAAAAGGATAATGACAATACCTACCAACAGGGACATTGTGCCTGGTGTGCAATCGTTACCCAATAAATGTTAACAAGTTATATTCTAGTTGTTATAGGCAAAGACTAGAAGTTTTGTGAAAATGTAGTGATGGGAAGCCCGTGCTCCAGAAGCGCCCCTCAACACTGAACACCAGATAAGCCAGTCATATCTGATTTGTAGGAGGTGAAGATTGCATGTTCCCATTGGGGTAAGTGGAGCTAAGCAAGTGATCCAAACATGAGAGGGGCCTTTGAGCCAAGAAGAGGAGGGAGGAGTCTGCCTAGGTCAGTGGAGAGGGGCGTTGGAAGAGGCTTATGGAAAGAAGTCTCCCTCAGCGGAGACCAAGGGAGCTGGGGACATAAACAAGATCAGGGCACAGAGACCCCTGAATTTACTCCATCCTCTCAGAACCTGATTGTGGGCCCAGCAGTGCCTTTCTCTTCTGTTTTAGTAATAGAAAAAGAGTGCCGGATTAGGAGTCAAAAAACGGAGGCAAATCCCTTAATCTGTCTATTTCCTCACCTGTAAAATGCAGATAATACTGCCTTTCAGCATAGGCATAGGAATCAAGAAAACATCTGTAAATGTGGCAAATTTTAAAATCTATAAATATAAAGCATTGTTATTATTAATCTTTTCCTCTTCCATGGTTCTCCCCTTCTAGTCTTCTTATTAAAAACAAAACCCTTTCCTTAAACTTGCTCTTGCCTCAATAAATCTATCATTTCCTCTGCTCTCTCTTTTTTCACCACTAAAATGGTAGAAGAGACAGAGGCGAGGATGGTTGAGGAGTGCAGGTATCACGCAGTCGGGGTCTCAAATACATTTGAAACTGGGCAGCATAATTCCCAAGACAGGGACACAGAGGAGAGAGCCCGGCTTCAGAATGAGGCACAGCGTGCGTCTGCTAGTGCTGCCCTTGACTCGTCCAGTGTCCTGAGCCCTCACCTGTAAAATGGGGGCCTTGGGGACAAGGTACCTGCAGGATTGCTGTGAGGACCAGAATACAGAGTCTGGCACAGTGGGAAGCACACCGTAGAATCTCAGTAAATACTAATGTCCTTGTTGTACCTCCCTCCTTATGGCAGCGATGGGTCCCTTTCCTCTCCCATCCTGTCCCCAGCACTTCGAGGAGCAGTGTCCACCCATCCTCTTTGGGGCAGAAGCTGAGTTCATTGAAACAATTTAACTGAGCTGCACTGGATGTGCTGGGGGCTGGGGGAAGAAAGAGGAAGATGGCACTATCTGTGTGTGTGTGTGTGTGTGTGTGTGTGCAGAGAGGGGAAGAGATGGGCACATTAAACCAGTCCCTGCAATCTAATGCAGAAGGTGCACTGAAGAGGTGAGTACAGAGAGCTTTGGGAGCACCAAGGAGTGTGGTGCTCACGGGAGGTCAGCCAGGGGAGATGCCTCCAGAGGTGTGGGGACACCTGCAGTGCAGGGAATGGGGTTGAGATGAGGGGAGAAAGCAGGAGAGAAGGAATCCTGAGAGCTAAGCCAGCCAGCTTAGACCATGCAGTCCTCTCTGGAGGACAGCGTTCCAACTCTGGAAGCTCACGGGGGAGTCTCCTCTCGACCTCGCCCCCTGGTTATTTCTTGGTGTTGCTTTTCTTTAACTGCTTCAGATTATCCAAAGGGTAAATATGTCTTTTGAAAAATGTCCTATCTTTTCTTGTGTTAGTTAAAATTATAGAGGAAGGAATTTCCTCTATAATCAAGGACGGGGGCTTGGTACAGCGAAGGAGTCCAGATGCAAGGTGCCTGGATAAGCTGTCCAGATGCAAGGTGCCTGGATACAAGTCAAGGCTGGAGGCAGCCGAGAGGTAGAGTAGGGACCCAGAGGGGAACAAAAGTGGACTAAAACCTTTCCTGAGCACCTGGGCATTTCTCTTCCAGGCAGAAGAGTGATCCCTGGCCAACTCACCACGCCAATGGAGAAGTAGTTGTTCATGATGTCATATGGGACCTGGTCCCCATTCTCCACCTCCTCTCTGGGGATGACTTCCAGGTGCCAGCGGTCCAGCATCACCAAGGGGCTCTGTTCGATGTCCTTCAGAATTTTCGTCAGGCTTCCCCCTTCGTAACCTGTGGAGCATAACATTGCATTTGTCCCAAGCAGCGAGCTCAGTTGTTGCTGAGGTACAGGCAGTGGTCCGTGCAGAGAATCCTGTGGGCATCTGTGACTTGGCGTTCCCCCAGTGTCTGTGCGCCAGACACTTAGGTTGCCTGAGCCACAGAGAAGGGCTAATTAGAAAGAATCTGGGGAGATTTGAAAGCCAGAGTAGCAGGGGTGGGGTGCGTGCTGACCGTAGGTGGGCAGTCTGTGTAGCTGAAGCAGCCTTTGAGAACTGGTGGGCTGGTTGGGCGGGGAGCTGCACAACGTGGTCTGGAGAACGAAGGATCCATCTCCAGACCACGTCATGCAAAGAGGGACTGGGGTAGACAGAGTTTTACAATAACCCCCACGATTCCAGCCTGCTCTGGTGTACACACCATTCAAAACCCCTGGAAATTGTGTGTAAGATGCGATCGGGTATATTTTATGAAACAGTTGACTTTAAGAAAGGGAGACTGTCCTGTATAGAGCTGATCTAATCGGGGGAGTAGGACTGGGCTTTTCTTTAAGAAACAGGTTTGAAGCTTGAGAGGGGTCTGACATGAAGAAGATTCTCTGTTGCCAGCTGTGAAGATGGAGCGACCCATCTGGGAAGTAATGAGGGAGGCCTCCCGCATCTGAGAGTGGTCCCAGCTGACAGCTAGCAAGGAAACAGGTCCCCAGTCCTACAACCACAGAGAAATGAATTTGGCTCACAACCTGAATAAGCTTAGAAGCAAATTCTTCCCCCAGAGCCTTCGGTGAAGAACACAGACTGTCTAATGCCCTGATTTCAGCCTGCGAGGGTCCGAGCAGAGAACCCAATGCCAGGACTTCTGACCTATAGGACTATGAGCTAAAAATGGATGTTTTAAGCCTCTACGTTATGATACTTTATTATGTATCAACAGAAAACTAACATAGAATATGAATCATAGGTGATGAGAAGTTAGTGGGAGAGATGGTCTTTTCTTTCAAATAACACTTCCTATGTTCCTACTTGCATTGGGGGCCTCCTTAAGGAGGATTTTCAAGTTGTCAGACTCTGGTCAGCTCCTGAAGGGATGCAGCACAAGACATTAACCACGTATTAACCACGTAGCAGGAGGCCTTGAAGCTGCCTGGGAGCACAGGCTGGGTTTCCTGCATGAAATCTGTGCCCACCTGGGCTGCCTAGATGCCCAGAGTGTGGGGTCACACTCTACCTGTCCCTCTGAACAGAGGGCTCTTTTCTAGTCTCACTGTGTGGTTGAGGACCCTGGGGGTTCTTCCAGTGCCTGCCAACTTCCCTAGGGCTGGCTCTCACTGACTCTGCCCCAAGTGTGCACCAACCTCTGAACACTGACCGCTGCCTGGCCTGGTCTTGGATCGCTCTCCGAATTGGCCATCTTCAGTCCCACTCCGATTCTGCCTGCCAGACTGACGTGTGGGCTTCTTGTGCTGATCTGAACTTCTCCACTCTCTGGAGCATGCCCAGCTCCACGGGGGGCTGTTGTCTTTTGCAAAGTTCTCAACTTAGCTCCTGCCCATTGTCATTTAAGCTGGTTCCCACTATGTGTTTGCCCTTCTGGAATTTTCAGAATGAGGGTCCGTGGCTTTGGGGGCTAAGATGATCTGGATTCCCCTAATAGCTGGTGACAGGGCTTTTCAGTCTCCACTCTGAGTTCTAATTCAGCAGAAGACCTGTAATTTGGGAAGGGGGGGAATTTTATGCTGAAAACCCCTAAGTGAGCCCCTACTGGGATGAGCACTGGGGAGGAGACAAAGGGGACTCTACCTTAAAGCTGACTTGTTCTACTAGGGAAGGCAAGTGGGAAGCAGATAGTTCGAGGATGACAGTCAACATAGTGAGGGGTAAGCACAGGCCTCGGCATGACTGGAGGGCTGGAAATGGTCATGACATCGCTCTGATCCCAGAGTTGACTATTATTCTGTGGAAGGAGATCCTTAAAAGGGAAGTTCAGCCTAGCTCTGTGAAGCATCCCTGTCGACTGGAAAGCTTGTCCCAGGGGAGTGCCGTTCAGAGACACACTCACCTCCTCCCCAGCGGAGACATCGGGCCAGGTCATTTCCTGTTCCAAGAGGCAGGACGGCCACTGGTGGATGCTTTGCCAAGTTGGCCTTATCTGCAATCCGTGCGGAGGAAGAGACAACCACATGCCATGGGTTACAGATTGCTCGAGTTATCTAGTTATCCCTGACATAATGCTTGAACCGCTCTACAGCATTCTTTATTTGAATACCTCCCATGATGGGGAACATACCACTCCGTCTGCAGTGTGTTGACCACTATAAAGAGTTTTTTTCTTATTGAGCAAAACCTGACTCCTTGTAACCTGCATCTCTTCATCCTAATTCTTTCCTTTGGGGTGACAACACACCTCAAAAACATTGGTCTGTGCAATTTTAATCCTTAATGATAACCAGAATTGATTACATTTATCCCTCAGGCCAACCCATGCTCTTTCTTTCTTCAAGGGCTAGGTAGGTGCATAGATAGCAACACGGGTGGGTTTGAGACATCAGGGAATGGTGAGGCATCTGGAAAGCTGAAGATGTCATTCATGTCCAAAAGTTTAAACATAAAGTCATTCATGTTCAGAAGTTTAAACATGACATTGTGTCTAACGAAAACCTCCAGGTGTCATTTGGCTAGCAGTTTGCCACTTCCACTCCTCCCAGACTTGCAAATACACAGATTTCTAAACTTATTTCCCATGCTGGTGTGAAGCAGCATCAGACTGAACCATTAGAGAAAGCACAGCAGACCATGTATGTTTTAAGCTGGCGAAGATCTACAGAGGTTATGTTGTCTGACTGGGAAAGTAGAAAGAGGCACAGGCCGCCATTGGGCTCCAGGGGGCGCTATTTACATAAACCTCAGTTCCCGTAGTACTGGGACCCTAAGCAATGTTATGGGGGAGCGCTCGTGGGGGCCGGCTCGTGGGGGGGCTGGCTCATGGGGGGCCTGGATGATGCAGGAATCAACATCATACACGAGGCTCATACTAAGGCTGCCCCAGCAAGACGGGAGTTCATAGGCCCCCAACTAGTCTGACTTGTGCCAGAAGTGGCTGAGCTCAGGCAAGACCCAGGGCTGAGATTACCACTGGGAGGGTTGAGGTGGAGGATGGAGCAAAGCAACGGATTCTCTCATTGTTCCAAGAACCGGTAGTCTGTGTTTATGCCTCCCTGCATTTGCATATTCTGTTCCCTTTGCCTAGAAGGCCCTTGATTCCTTAGGTCTGCGTTCTCTTCTGTAGTCTCCATCTCAGCAGGTCAAACATCCTCACAGTATGGAGGCTAGAAAGCTGGATGCCATCCTAGGTTTCCCCTGTCCCTCCCCCCACATCCATTTACTCATCAATTTCTATGTGCTTTCTCCTTAATAAATCTCCCAGCAATCTTTTCTCTCCATCCCCATGGTGATGCCTGAGTCCTTTCCATTGGTACAGCTGTAACTGCCTCCTCTCTGCCCTCTTATCCTCCATTCCACCTCCTGTTGTGTTCTCCATACTTCCACCAAGGTGGGAAATCCTTGAGCCACAAGCCTGATCATGTTAGTTCATTACTTTCACACTGTCGGGGCTCCCTTCACCCCTTTGTATGGCACACCTTCCTCTCTAGCCTCATCTTTTACATATTCCACCTCCCACCAACATATCAACCACACCTTAGTGTTTTCAGTGCCTTAATTAGACCGTCTTTGTTGCTCAGCTCAGATGCTGCCTCTGGGAGGCCCTCCCTGGTGGCCCTAGTCTGGACCAGGTGCCTCTCTAGAATGTTTCTTTAGCGCCAGGGATGATCTCGTCATACTATCTTGTAATTAACTGCTCATTTGGTCCGTGGATGTACTGCAATCTCCCTGGGGAGCTGTATCTCATTTACTACAGTATCTCCACACATACTTGCTGAAGGCCTACTATGTGCCAGATGCTGTATTGGGTACTGTGGCTCTCACAGCAGATGAAAAAGCCATGACTTAGGCTCTCATGGTACCTGTAGTTGAAAGGGAGAGACAGATATTAATGAGGTCTTCCCATAAATGAGGCATAATTTTGAATTCATACTGGAGAGGAAAGGAGAGTAGTCCTATAATAAGGTAACAGAGGCTGGGCATATGTCAGGAAAGCTCTCCCGAGGAAGCCACACTTTGGCTGAGATCTGAAGTAGAGCTGACCCAGTAAAGTCCAAGGGAGCATACCAGACAGCAGGAACAACTTGTGCAAAGGCCCTGTGGTGGAAAGGACTGGCCCATTCAAGGTCTGAGAGAGATTGTATGGCTTGAGTCTAGAGGGAGAAGAATGGAGGTATACGGCTGGAAGGGTGGGCAGCTGCTAGACCACCCAGGGCTCTGTAGATCATTTGAATAGTCTTTGTCTTAAGAATAATGAGAAGCCACTGATGTGTTTCACACACATCATGATCCCACTGACATTCAGGAAAGACCACTCTGGCTATAGAGGGAGAACAGATCAGGGAGGGGACTAAATGGGGGTGGTAGTGACCACTGAATAATTGCTTTAATATTTCCTGAATCTATATATGAATGAGTGAACACTGTGCAGTGATTTTTCTTACCACTGTTTCTTCTCTTTGGGCCACTAACCTATGAAAGCAGATCCTCTCACATGACCTTCTTTCTTTCTATTTTGAGCAGTGTCTATCACCTGTGTCCTCTGCAGATGAATTTTATACAACTTTTCACCAAAGCCTGCTTTCTCCTTCATGATGGAAGGGAACCATGTAAGCAGCTCTCGGTACTGCAGCTATCACCCTCTGCTGATTGGCTCTTCCTTCCTGGCTCCCTGGGGAGGCCTCCCTCCTCTCACAAACAACTCAAGCCCAGATGACAGGAGAGAGTGGGAGGCTGCGTGGCAGGGCTGTGTCCATGGAAACCAAAGTGCCTGTGGGAGGGTTGAAGGGAGGTGTGCAGGTGCTGGTGCTGCCCTTCCAGTTGGTTGCTTATGACTCCTGGAGGTCCAGCCTTCCCTGCCCTGTTCAGGGTCTATCTTGGCCCATCCTTGGCTCTGCTCTTGCCCTCCTCTCTCACATCCAGTCTGTTAGCAAATCCTGCTGCCTCTACCATCAGAAGATATCCAAAATCTGACCACTTCTCACCACCTCCTCTGTGTCTGCTATGGCCCCAACGATGGTCACCTCTCACTTGAATGACTGCAGGAGCCTCCATACTGGCCTCCCTGCCTTCGCCCTTCCTCTCAATCTCTGTCCCTCCTTTGCTCAAGAGCCAGACAGCACCTTGGGACTTTCTCAGTATGAAAGCCATATTCTATATAATGTCCTACATGTCCTGGTGACCTGGCTCTGCACTATTACTGCTGCATCCCCTGTCACTCTTCCCTCATGTGCTCCGACACAATAAGCTCTGTAGCCGCTCCATGGCTTTCAGCTGCCTGGCCTGCTCCTACCCATGACCTTTGCAGTTGCTGCTCCTTCTGCCTGAGCTGCTCTCTCCTCAGGTATCCACATGGCTCACTCCCCTCCAGGCCTCCAAAAGTCTTCCCTGACCACTGAGATTTAGATTGTACCCCTCCCCCAGAGCTGAGCTCCTGTTGCCCCTTCCCTGTTCTATTTTTATCACCTTCTGACATACTATATGTTTCACTTACTTCTTTGTTTATTGCCTGTGTCTTTCCTCTAGAAGGAAAGCTCCATGAGGGTGGGTATTTTTGTCCATTTGTTAATTGCCGCATCTCCAGTGCTTCAAGGAGAGCTTGACACAGGAGGTGCACAGGCAATATTTGTGGAATGAATGGCAGGAAGACAGAAGCAGCCCAGGGCTTGTCACTCTGGGCCTAGCCTCAGACTTGGATGATGGCTTTCCCCAGCTCCTCCCTTTCCCGTCCTTTTATTCCACATCCCAGTGTTTATCTGGGTTCTCCAGGCTTCGATCTTGAATATACCCTTGTCCCAGGGTTTCAGGGTCAGTCTCCATTATATTTACTTGAGGTTTTGTGTCCAAGGACACCATAGATCCAGGCACAGCTGGACTAGAACCGACATCCCTGATTCCTAGCCTGGGCTCTCCCCACTGCCCCTTTGATCTAGGTGTGTTGGACACAGCCCAACATGTCCTTTCTGTGCTTGTCTTGACCTGCACTGTGGAGGTGTGCTTCCTGGGTTGGGCTCCTGGTGCTCATCTGGAGATGATTTGCCCCGGGATATGCCTCTATGCTTACTTCTCTGGCCTTTATCCACTACCTTGGCTCTGCCTGGAGTCCCAGTCCTGCCCCTCCTCGTGACCCCCAATCTGGCCTGTCCTGCTATTGACCAAAGCCTGGCCACAACAGATATTTTTGAGGCAAGGCCTGAGACAAATTGTTACATTTGTACTTGTGGTAATCCTTCCATTGTCTTGTTTCTTTGTTTTTCTACCCAAAGTAGATATTAAGTCAAGCATTGGTCCAAGAGTAGAAACCAGTATGAACAAGACACGGCCACATTTCTCTTTCATTTTTATTGCCTTCCTCAGACTTTAATTATACTTACTATAAGGAAACTGCAAAGGCCCTCCTAGCCCATTCTTACCAATGCAATCCAAAATCCAGCCAACTGTCCCATCACCTCCGCAGGCCAAGACACGGAAGTCGGGGGTGTCGCGGAAGAAGTTCAGTCTGGGAAGTAGAAAAAGCCCAAATGGTCTTGTTTATAGGTTGTGGCTGATCGTTGACAATACTTGAGTTAGAGTCCCCTGCCCACTTCCCTGGGAGTGTGTTGCAGTCTTGATTCCTCTTGGGATTTGAAAGGGTCACGTAATGTTCTGAAACAAGAATTTACTAAGCAGTACCACTGAGTATGACTCTCAGGGGCCATCCTTGTACAAGAAGAATCTGACTCAACATTCAACACAGAACAAGTCTTATTTTCTTTTGTTTTTTTCTAGGTGGTGGTGAGAATTTCTAGAAATTCTCTATTATTTGGGCAGAGGAATCCATATCTTGGTTATTTTGGCAACATATAACTAACTCCCAACTTTTTGACCCCCTCCTGCTCTCCTGCCTGCCCTCCTGCCACAACCTCCTATTTACATTAGATGCACTCAACTAGCTACATTTTTATCCTGTTCTCGGTGGAGTGAGCACCATCTCCCCTTGGGGACCTTAACCCTTTAGAGCAGGGCTGTTGACGTGAGGTCCGTGAATCTCCAAGGGGTCTGTGGATTGAGCCCAGAGGACTATGATCTCTGAGGAGAAAATGTTACATTCTTACCTTCCCTAAGCTCTAATTAGTGTTTCCTTTGATTGTGAATGTAGGTAACAAACCACAGATGTATTAACAATACCTGTGACTTTGTCCAGAGTGAAAATCACAGATATTTTAATGTTGACTATAGTTACGGCAGACACCTCATACTACCATTTATGCACAACACTACTTTTAATTTACAAAAGTTATTAGGCCTGCCTCTGGAATCTACTACAAAATGTGTTAGCAAATCACATATATTCTTGTATCGCAGATTTGTTTTCTTAACATTTTGATAACTGTTTTCAGTTATAGTTTCCCCGATTACATATTCCATTTTATGTATTAAAAAATATTAGCTCTGGCCGGTTTGGCTCAGCGGTTAGAGCATCGGCCTGCGGTCCGGAGAGACCCGGGTTCGGTTCCCGCTAAGGGCATGTACCTTGGTTGCAGTTTGTCCCCGGCACTGGTTGGTTGTGCGGGTGGCAGCCACTTGATGTGTCCCTTTCACATCGATGTTTCTCTCTCTCTCTTCCTCTCTCTCCCTCCCACTCTATCTGTACAAAAAATGGAAAAATGTCCTCGGGTGAGGATAAAAAAAAAAAAAAAAATTTAGTCTGAGAGGGGGGGCCACAGGTTTCATCAGACTTCCAAATGGGTTCCTGGCACAGAAAGGTTAAGAGCCTCTGCTTAGGAGCAGATGTGATTGGTGGACACCTTGGGGTGGGACTTGGGAAGCCCACCGGGGTGGTCTGAGGAGAAGACCCCTGTGTCTTTCAGAGTCACTGATGCAGGTGTGAGCAAATTCCCATCGCCTTGCTTTCCCTTTGTCCCCTGCTCTCCTGTGTGAAGTGAATTCTGAACAGAGGCTTCCGTCACCTAGACAGCCTGAGCAGACTGACACCTCAGAGATGCTCAGCACAGCAGCCCTAGAAGTTGTCACCAGGTTGTCATCCAGGGCAAAAACAATTTAGGGCAGATGAGGTTAAGCAAGAGCACTGCACTCAAGTATAAAAATGCCCCCAAAGAGAAGTGGCTGGTAAAGGTGTCTGTGGGCTGCTGCTTGTCACAGGTCATAATGGAGCAGTAACCGGCAGTCGTGGTGGCCGTCACGGACCTGCAGCAGTATAGGTGGGCTCTGTTTTAATTTTTTTTTCTTTATTGATTTGTAGAGAGAGAGGAAGGGAGAGAGCGCGAGAGAGAAACATCAATGAGAGAGAACATTGATTGGCCGCCTCCTGCATGCCCCCACTGGGGATCGGGCCCACAACCTGGACATGCACCCTGACCGGGAATTGAACTGGCAACCTCTTGGTGCATGAGGCATAATCAACCACTAAGCCACACCAGCCGGGTTGAAATTAGTTTTAAATCGTGGCAGAGGTGCTGAATCTGCACTCAGGTTTCTCTCTCCTTTTAACTGAGTCTTGCACTACAATGGTGTCATAAACGACAGCTTTGTGTCAAAAAACGAAGACAGGGCCAGGTTCCCTTCTGAGAGTCCTGACTCCGGCTCTTCTGAGGGTCTTGCTGAACCAGTGCCGAAGAGCAGGTTAGGAGGCTGGGCAAAGTGGCTGTGTGTTGAAAAGGCCAGCTCAGCGTGCACAGATCTGAGAACCTGGCACCTAGACCACCTCTGGCCAGATGTGTTTCTAGTGTATCATCTCTGTCTGACAGTCTTTGGGTGCCTTCCGCATCCAATGCTGGAGGGGTCTCTGATTATAGGGCCCCACAGCTCACCATGTTAGTGGTAACACAGGGCCCATCTCCTCCCACCAAACCTTCCCTCAAGCTGCAAAGGGGCCGCCTCCTCTCGTTGCTCTCCCTCTCTAAAGAGTAGTGAAATAGCCAATAGGCAAATGACAGAAGGCCCACAGGGAGTTCAACAACCTCTAAAATGGATACTCCAGAAAAAAAGTGATTTCATTGAATAAACAATTGTTTTGATCCTAAAATGACCTACAACAGAACTGACTGGCAGTGAAAAGGAAAATCTTTCCTCCTCCCTGATGATTCAGTATGAAGATACCAGCTAACACAGCCTTGCAAATCAGCTAAAATAATTTACCAGCCCGCCCTTCCTGTCAGTCAAATGAATGGCATATGCAGGAGGCTACTTCCCAGAGTGAAACGTAATGAGAATTCCTGAGTATCTCCAGGAGGAGTAAGAGTGGATGTAAGGAAAAGAAGAGAAAATGGGTAAAATGGCAGGAAGACAAGTCCACAAATGAAAAAGACAGAGAAAGGTGACAAAAAAGTATATTCTTCAGTAAATGAAGGGGAGAAATAGGGAGTAAGGATTGTAGCTCCATACCCTGGGGTAGGCCCCCCATTGTCCAGGTTGAAAACTTGTTTGGGGTTGAGCAGATAGTGGAATTTCCGAAGAATTCTATGGAAAAAAAAAGAAAGAAAGAGAGAGGCAGAGAAGGAGAATATTATTATGAGGGGTCACAGTAGGGCAAACACCTCTAGGGCCCTTTGATGGTGGGAATGAGGGTCAGTTTAAACTCTACTGGGGAGAAGACCCTGCAGGCCCTTAAGTCCAAGCTTCAGCTGGCGTCTCTCACGCCCTAATTCCCTGTTTCAAGGCCTCTCCACCCTTCAAGACTTTAGGCCCCAACCCCTGAAGTGTCACCCCATGCAGACAAGGCAGGGAAACTCAGAGAAGAGAACTTCTATTCTCCTCGAGTTTTGTTCTTCAAGGAGACCTTCTCCAAAATGTTTTGTATGTTCTAGGCTGTGCAATTTTATTCTTTGTGGACTTTACAAAGGCATAAAGTAACCCTCAATGGAAAGGCCACCCAAATCCTGGAATAATGAGGAAACACAGGAGGTGGGGCTGGGGCAAGGGAGGGCTGGGGGCAATGACCCCACCTAGGCTTGATGTCAAAGCTCCAGCTCGAGGCTAATCAGGTCAGGTCAGAAGAGGTGCTCTGCCCCTTGGACTGGGCTGGGGATTCTCATATTTGTTACTTCTACCCTACTTATGTTTGTAACCTGGATTCCAGATCACCATGCCATCTGTACGTTGCCCCAGGGCTGAACAGGACAGGGAAGCAGAGCTGCTCTGCCCTTTCTGCCTCTCTCCTCCCACTGTCTTAGTGCTTCCAGCAGACTGGACATTTCCCCCTGATGAGCTGAGTGCCCTGCTTTCTCAGGGGCTTGATCGGTCAGGAGGTCCCAATCAGTGGGTCCCGCCACATCTCTTAATCAAGAGCAGACTTGAGAGACCAGGAAGGAAACAGGCATCTCAGAACTTGGTCTGACTCTGGGAGCCATAATAATGGCTCCTGTGACCGGCCCTAGGCTAAGGTCTGTGTCTGTTTTAATCCTCACAACAACCCCATGAGAGGAGAAATTCTTACTTATTTACAGAGGAGGAAACAAAGACACAGGGACATTAAGTCACTTGAACCAGGTCATCAAGTGGTAAATAGTAGGGTTGGGATTTGAACCCACCACGTCTGCCTGTCTCTATCAGGTCCACTCTGTATGTCTGAAGGGAAGAAAGGACCCAAGTGGGGCTGTTCCAGCCTCTCCATTTTGAAAAAGAAGAGAACATACCTTTCTCCTTGTCTCCCTCCACTCTTGGGGTTCACCAAGACCAACAGGGGGTGGGTACCCGGGGTGGGGATGATCTTATACTTAAAAGGTAAAAGAAAAAGAAATTAGCTCTGTTTTATCCAACAGGGGGAACAAGATGGGAGTTTATACCAAGACAGCATCTGGGAGAAGTGGACAGGAAGCAGTTACAGGCAGGAAGGAGAGGAGGGCGGGATGTAGGTGTTTGTCCACTGGCTGAGTTTTTGAGGGGTTGCAGAGCTAAGTGTCTTCCGCTTTAGTGGCCTTTGAGTGGTGTGAATGGTGACAGGGTTTGGAGTTGAAATCAGAGATGGGACAATGGCATCTTAGTTTCAAATCATTCAACAATGGTGAGGCATTGGGCCCACAGCAAGAGATTAGATTTTGTGAGGGATACAACTGAATATGACCTTCTAAGGTATGGGCATCTGATCAAACATCTAAATAAAATAACACTCATAAAGTTAACCATGACTTCCCCCCAGCCCCGATGTTCCTCCTAAACCCTGGCTCCTCGTTTCTCACTGTCTGGTGGGTACCTTCAACCAGATGTCTCTCCATCAGGTTGCTCCAAACATCAGCATGTCCCAAACCTGACCTATCATTTTCCCTCATAACACTGGTTGTCTCTCTTGGCTCCCTGTTTCAGTTTAAATGTACTATTATTATTCATCCAGTTTTCCAGGGAAACCTTGTTCTGCCAAAATTTCTGCTGGTATGTCCATACTGCTTGGGCATTTCCCAACTCAGGTAAGTCCTATAGGCTGCCCCCATGTAGCTCCTTCCCAGGACACCACATTAGTCATGCAACTCTTGCTCAAAAACCTTCAATAATACCTCCTTGCCCAGAGGATCAAAACCAAATCTCCTAATCTGGCATCCAAGGCATTTCAGTGTAGCCCCATCAGACTGCTATCTCTTAATTACTCTAATCCTCACTGCAGTTGTGGCCAAGCCTGGCTCTTACCCTCTGGCGAGTGTGTCTCCTGCATTCCCACCCTGTGCGTCTGCTCACACTGGTTTCTTCTCCTGCTCGGTGCCCTGAAATGCCCTCTTCATTGTTTGCAACCTCTTAAAAAATCTTCTCAGCTTCAGGGCTCAATTCAAGAGCTACTTTCTGTATGAAGTCTTTCTTAATTACTACAACTAAAACTATTGCACTTGAAGCATGTAATTAATACCTTCTGGGTTTCTTTTGTTGTCGTTGACTTGGTTTTTTATTTTCTTAGGTAAATGTCTCAAAACATCAACTGAATCTTAAATGCCCCAAAGCAGGGTGTATGTGTGTATAACTCTTGTACCAAGGACCTCACAACTCTAGATACAGGAGTGGGTAGTCAATAAATACTTGTGGATTTAGCTGAAGGACACACTGATACAGAGACACAACTCTGTTCCGTATTCACGATCTAATGCTCACATTTCCAGATCCTAGGCTAAAAACACAGCAAACAGAGCCATGTTGTTTGAAATGGACAGCATCACTCTTTATGATTTTTAGGAATGTTCTCATCTTCCCTAGGGTGACTGTCTGTGTGACACCCAGAAGCATCTTGGAGCCTGAAGAGTAATTTTTACTTCTGAGTGTGGTATTCAAAATATTTAACAACCTGTACAGCATGGGCACTGCCCGGTCAGTACGGACGCAGGCTAAGCAAATGGATGCTGGCTGTAGACAACTAGTATGCCTGCATTGTGTGATTGTGTGTGTGTGTCCTCTACTTGGCTTTCTGTCCTTCCAGGTAGCTAGAGCTGTCTCACATTATTCAGGTTCCCCGTCATTACTGCTTGCATTTAGTTTTCTAAACACACTAATCTGTGTGCTGTCACTGAGTTTCAGAGCATCTCTGGGGTGGGCAGTGCATGGACTGCTATGCCCCTTTGGAAACAGGGAAAGTTGAGGCTCAGAGGCGGGGTAGGGTGGGGAAGGGCCCTCATTTTCTGTTTTCTTTTTTAGTACTCTTGGTACCTCATCAGGCTGTCTCCTGCACTCCCTGGAACTCTGTGGAAGGCACAAAGAGAAGATGTTTATTGGTGAACCCAAGTGAAAAATGAGTTCCTAAATACACACTGAAGGCTAAAGAAGAACTTTTGGATGTATTAGCTTTGTTTTGGCTGATTGGATTCTGGAGACAGCATGGCAGTCTTGGAAAATCTGTTGTGTAATTTTAGGCCACACTCTTGTTATTATGTAGGGGGTGTGCATGTTGATGTTTTTAAAGCAACTTGCTCCTAAAAAGGTGATAATGCCAATTTGGGAGCCAGAGGAGCAACCGACCTTCCTTCCCGCCTACAGTGTGGTGGTCAAAGGTGATTCCAGAGGCTGGGAATAAAGTGTCTTGTGTTATATAACTGATCAGATGAGAAAGCAACTGTTGAGATATATTTCTCCAGCACCCAAACCCTGTCTTCCTCTCCACGACCTCGCCCATCTTAGAATGAGCGGTCAGACTCGGGCTTGCTGAGGTACCTGCATCACAAGTTCACCCTTGGCGGATGCGTTGCCGTCAGACTGCCCACCTTGCCTGTCCTGTGAGAAGAGAGAAAAGGTGGACATCTTTTGAAAACCAATGCCTAATATAAAAAAAGAGATCAGACGAACAACAAATGGCTAATAAAGAGAATTAGAAAACCAGTACAGAATGGGGAGAAATTTTTCAAAGTGGGGCTTTGGACCTAACTAAGGAAAGACATGCTCCCCTACGGGTTTCTCTAGGACTCTCCGGGCCTCTGCCACCTCTGCTCGGGCACGAAATTTGAGACACTGGAATGGACATGGAGAGAGGAAGCACTGAAATTGGCAGAAATCTGCTCTGTTTATTTAGAAGCTTGGGCTCTGAGAAGCAAGGTCTTAGATCTGGCTTTTCTGCTCAGCACTATCTAAATGATGTCATATTGAGAACCTTATTTTTCTTTGTTTATAAATATGCTTATTATTTTATGAAGATTTATTTCTCATATAGTAAAATGCTCCAATCTAAATCTCCAGCCTGGTGAATCTCTGCCTACATATATGCCCTGTACCTCTGTCCCTCCAGGTGTAATGCTGCGGTGACTCTGGACTTCATGCTGGTTTGGCCTGGCTTTTGAATTCCATGTAAATGGAATCATAGAACATGTCTTTTGTTGAGTCTATCTTATTTGTTCAGCATCATATCTTTGTGATTATCCCTTTTTTGCATGTAAGCATAGTTTTTTTTCCATGTACTATTCCATGATTCGAATATGCCTCAATTTACTTATCTGTTCTCCTGTCAATGGTCAAGCAGCTTGTTTCCGGTATTTTACTGTTATGAATAAAGCTGCTACAAACGTTCTTGTTCGTGTATTCTGGTGGAATAAATGCTCATATTTCCCAGGTAGATACCTAGGAGGGGACTTGTCGGGTCAGAGAGTTTTGTATTTCCAACTTAGTAGATACAGCCAAATGGTTTTCCACAGTGTTTTTTCTCCAGTTTTTAAAGAGAAAGAAGTAGCTGGTCAAGTCAAGGATGAGATGTGAGGAATAAGCAGGACTTGGCAACATCTTTAAGAGGGAAGGGAACAGTCAAGGTTTTGGGAGCTTGGTTTGAAACCTTCCAAACACAGGAGTCAGAGACAATTTCAGATAGGGATAAAAGGAGTGTAATTTTGTTGCATTCATTTCCTTTTTTTTGGTCAATAAAATCTTTAGGAATATCTGCACATATACATTTACATTCAAGTTGGTTAACACTAGTGGTTTCACTTCAAATTATGTTCGAGAACTCAAATATCAGACACGGTCATGTATATGCTGTTAAAAATTCTTTTCTTTTTATCTAGATACATTTCCAAGTAGGGCTGAGACGCCCAAGTGGAAATTGTCAGGGCAGATGTTGGAACACAGGAGAGAGGCTGGGGGACAAGGGAGGCCTCGCCTGTGCAGATGGTGACTCCAGTCTGAGCTGAGCTCTGCCTGCAAGGTGCTCAGAGTGCATGTGCCTTCCCTGATGGGCCATTATGGGGACCGGAGGGGGAACCACTTTAGTCAGGGGAGTTTTCTCTCACAATCTGGTGGCGCAGCATTAACCTCACTGAAACTTGTGCTGAAAACACAAAGGCTAGGAGTTATTGAGGAAGACCTCTGAGGGATGCGAATGTCTGAATGCTGCCTACATCGGACGTGTGCAGGCCGGTGGGGGGGGGGGGGGAGGGGGGACCAGAGCCCTGGCGGGGCGGCAGCACTTACCCGGGTGATGGGGCATATCGAGGTGGGCAGCAAGATGTGGTCTTTGAGTTCCCCACCATCACACAACGTGGACAATTCACACTTGCGGTGAAACTGGAGGAAACAAGGAAGATAAGAGTGAATGAAACTGACCAAGAAAATTTCAGATGTGAGGTTTTAGAGGTTTTCTGGGGAGGCGAGCTGTCTAGCACTCCCCAGTTCCGGATGCACCGCTGGCTTTGGCAGTGTAACTGAAGTGTGTGTGTGTGTGTGTGTGTGTGTGTGTGTGTATTTGTTTTTGTGTGTAAGTAGCATGTGTGGGTGTGGGTGGGGTTTGTGGTTAGGACTGCCAAGTCTGCCGTGGGCCGATAAAGGAGACCAAATGTTCCTCATGGCTGCTGGAGCAAATCTGTCCTGAGCAGGCCTCTCTGTGGCCCTTCAGTGTGGTACCCCATGTGGATTCCCGCCCCCCCACCTTGGATTTTTGCTCCCTAGGCTCTGAGACACTGGAAAGAAGGAGATCTTGTTGAACAAACTCATGAGAAACAGGAAATAACCCCCCTGACTCAACCTGTGCATCCAAAGAGTTCTGTAATTTAATTTGGAGACATGTCCTTTTTTGAGGCTGATCAAGGGCCTTGGTCAGGGGACAAGACATGGCGCTGAGTTTGCCGTGGCAGGGAGGTTGGGCAGGTTCCAGGTATCTAGAGAGGAAGTGGACATTAGCTGTGGCTAACGGCAGCGGGGCTGCTGCATAGAGTGTGCCTTTCTTGGGCGCCTTGAAGAACATGATTCTGGTGTCTAATTTCTTGCCAACTCTGGCGGTGCCACTGGTCCCAGATGACACCAGGCCAAGGAAGTTAATGGTCACAGTTGCCTGGCCATACAGACCACGGATTGGCCAGCTTCTTCTTAAGTAGCCCTCACTCCCCTGGTTCTGGGGGTGTCCTCTCTGGGCAGCTTGGTGATTCACTGGACACTGTTAGACTTAGGGCAGTGAATGGGGCTCTGGGCCCCCACAGGCTTTCCCCCTGGCTCTGCTCATGCCCTTTGGCAGGCTGTCCACTGTTCCTTGGCTGCAGCTTGAACAAAAAAACACACTGAAAAGAAGCAGGGCTGCCCTGGGCGCCAACCCACCGTCTTCCGGCACCACACGCAGTGCCACGCGGTGACACTCTGGTAGCACTTGATACTTTTGTGGCACCGATCACACTTGACGGAGCAGTTCCCTTCCACCCACGCGTGCTGCATCACCTGCAGGAGGGAAGGGAAGGATACCAGGGAAGGCGGCAGAACCACGCCCCAGGGCCCTGGGCTTGAGGAGAAGGGTCTGGGCGATGCACAGGGAGGGGAGAGGCCAGAGGGGTTTCCTGTTTCGTTTATGCACGTATTGGATGCCAGGCTACTTTGCTGCTCTGCACTGATGCGGTCTCTCCCTGCCTAACCACCATTCTGTTCATCGAGGTAGATGAAAAACCATTTTTCCTGTGCTTGGAATAGCTCCTTCACCCTGGCAGTCAAGCCTCTGAGTAGCATCTTGTCAGGCAGTCCATGTGTCTGTCTTGTGGAACTCCTTGCAGCGTGATGTGCTCATGTGCGCCCTCTTCTGGATAAAGGGGAACAGGAGGGCTTGAGCCGCTGATAAAACTGGTTGGAGTCACTGATCTTCCATTTGGCAGCAGGGTGACCACATTTGGCCAGTTCCTGGGCCTCTCTGAGTCTCAGGTCCCTCATTGGTATAGATGCATAAGCCCCACCTCTATGTTTGCTGGGAATATTAAATGAGATAGCACACTTGGAAAGGCCTTCCTGGCACAGTTCTGCCCCTTTGGAGTGCCCATTGATGGGTAACTTCCTTCCCCTCCCGTCTTCTATGGGCCATTGGCCGTCAGCCTTAGCAACCCATAATGCCTGGGGAGCTCCTATAAGTTCTAATGTCCGGCAGCCCTCATTCCAGACCAACTAAATTCGAGTCTCTGGGATGGGAACCATCGTTAGTATGTTTTAAAGCACCCTGAGTGGTTATAATGCTCAGCCAAGGTTGAGAAACATGCTAACAGGAAGTTAGAGAAAAAGCCCAAAGAAATGCTGTGGGTCAGCAGTCAGTGGCTTCACATCTGTTTCCTGGAAAGCTGGTTGTGTTTGCCCCCAGGCCAGGGAGTGCCACCAGGTCAGCCCAGGAACCTAGAAGCCATGGGAATGCACGTTAGATGTAAGTCTGTAAGTGCAAAGTGACCCATGGCACCAAATTCTGGGGATGTGAGCCCTCAGTTGCCTCCCTAGGAATTCTGCAGGACTCAGAATTTCCTACTAGCACCCTGGAGAGCAGAAGGAAGAGAGCATGGGCTTGGGGAATGTGGGGACCCAGTCTGAAGTGCCAACTACAAGCACAATCTGAAAAATACATGCAATATTTGCATTATACCATCCATGTTTGTATTAACTAAAAGTTTTAAATTACTTATCAGTTAATAATCCTCCTCCCAGAAGGTTTTCGGTAAAATTATTGTTCTAGCAGACATGTCACTTTTATTTTGTAGCTTCTCACCTTCTGCCATTCACTTTTGAGGATATAAAGAATTCAGATTGCTAATCAATTTGCCATCTACATGGTCACATGAAATTTGCTCTGAGATTATTATTACTATTTCCATTTCACAGTGAATAAAACGAAGTGTCAGAGAGGTTAAGTGACCAGCCCTAGGTTGCAAGGCTAATAAGTGGCCAAGCAGAGTTTCACAGCCAGGCCTTCTGACTCCAAGTCCATGGTTGTCTCCCAACACCACGTTGCCTTCTCCATCCTCTTCTGAGATTGGAAGAGATGGTGAAGGACTTGGGTTGGCCCTGGAGACTCAGAAGATCGTGCCCTGCTGGCCCTTCAGTGGCCTCCCTCTGCTCTGTGGGTGGCACGTGGCCAGAGTGCAGGCTTACGGCCCGAGCCCAGGAGGTGTACCGTGCGTCCTGGTGAGGCATGGACATGGAACGGTGTGCGCATGCGTGTGGTGCAGAAGACAGGAGGCCATGCGGTATGTCATTGGGCATGCATGTGTCCTTGGAGGTGCCCTTCTCTCTTGGAGTCCTTTTGGGGAGGGCTGGATATCTCTGCAACCTGCTAAGCACCTCCTGACTCAGATTTCTAATTGGAATCTTCCATGCAGGAACTCAAGAATGTCCTTCCTCTGCTAATTTTGAGAAGAGTCTATTTCCAGATTCAATGAATGGCACCACCCAATGGCCAAGTTAGAAACCTGGGAGCCATTCCTGACCTCTTCCCTTCTCTCATCCTCTACATCTCCATCACCAAGTCCTGGTGGTAGTACCTCCAAATTATTTCTCAAACTCTCCCTTCATCTTCTCTACCTTAGCCAGCTGGACAGTCAAAATACTCAATAACCGCATGGCTGGGGAAGACACTCAGCACAGCCACCGCCACACTGTGCTACTACGGATGCGTCGGCGTGGCCGGTGACTGCAGACCCCACCCCAGTTGGGCCCTCAGTGCAGCATGGCCTCTTGCCTGTACTGTTGGAGATTTTTTTACCCTCAAATCCCTCTCCTGCACCATTTCCAGAGCAATTAACCTAATTTTAAAACCAAATGATCTCGAGCTCAAATTTCTTCACTGTCCCCTTAGCTGCCTAGGGAACTTCCCAACACCTCAGCTGGCCTCGCGGACCTTCCCAGGCTACATCTCCCTTTCAGAGCGCAGCTTCTGCCGCTGCTCTTCAAGCATCCTCTGTCCCAGTCACCGCAAACGAGTACAGATCCAGAACAAGCCAGGTCTCTTCCCTGTCTCTGCACTCAAGGCCTCTTCTGCCCAGGTGCCTTGCCTGTCTCAAAGCCTTGTGAAGTCCTCCAGATCTGGGTTCAAGATACAACTCAAATGCCACCTCCTCTGTGAAACCTTCCCTGGCCTCCTCCTTGGTGCCTCAACTGTACGTCCCACATAGTTGCTATTGTCCGTCTCACTACTTCGTGCTTGGCTTATGTGCCTGTCTCTCTCCCACTAGCTCTGCACAATCCTCCAACAGACTGAAGATCATCTTATAACTTGTGTAATCCCTAGCACAGTGCCTGGCACATGGTGGGCACCAGGGAGATGCTGAATGGATTGATGGATGAATGAGATGGTTTAAGGGTGGTCCCGAAGGCAGAGAAGGGACTGGATAAAGGTCCCAAAGCCCCTTCTTGCCCAGGAATCTGGTGATGGACATGTTGCCTGGGACACAGCGTGCAGGAGAATAAGGCAATAGTTGTCACCAACCTCGCTGCCCCTTTTGGTTCTTGAGTACGTTTTGACACACCCAGGAATGTTTTTGGATACGCAGCGTTCGTGAACGGTATATTTACAGTCTGAAAAAAAAGTAAGGAAAGTGCTGTGAGTGACCACATAGGGAAGGTCCAGCCAGCTCCCCCCCCCCTCCCTCCAGCTGAGGCCTGTGCCTGACCGGGTCACCAGTCAGGGGCAGGGGACAAATGGAGCTGGCCTTGCCTACTGGAAACTCAAAATGGGCTCCAGTTGTTCACTGAGAAGAGCGTGCACGGTTATCTCCCAGACATGCTCCTGTACTCTCCACCCTCCACACAGTGGGCAGCAAATCTGGCAAGAAAACGTCTGCAGCAAGGTGCTTTCCACTGGGGGGCAGTGTAGGACTCATCCTCCGCGCTGTGCCCCCCCACTGCATTGTGTGTCTGGGATGCTGGGGACGGACAGAAAGGCCAGAGGTCTTCCTAACTCTGGAGTTAGGCGGGCAGGGTCTGCACTTTGGCTCTGCCATTTATAACGACCCTCATGATCTTGGGTAAGTTGTTCCAGGTCTCTGAAATTCAGGGTTTTCTACAAAGTGGGAATACAATGGCCTCTCTTTCTCTTTGCAAAGCTTTTGCAGCATTAAATGCGATAATTTGTATAGCGCATCATGTGTCTGGGTCAGAATAGCTATCCCACAAATTATTATCATTATTGTTGTAACTACTGCTGATTACCATGCAATCAGCAGGGGCCCACAGACCTAGAACCTAATAAGAGTGAGACTGGGTCTACTAGAAGTGATGAGAACTGGATTTGAATGGGTGCTAGAAACACTGGCAGGCCCCTTCGTGGCCTGCTGATGCTCTTCCTGGGCACTGGGCCCAACTCTGTTACGATGACACGTGTGCATGTTTAGACGAAGCGCTCTGGTGAGTTGGATCACACCCAAGGGTCCTCCCTGCAGCAGCAGCTCCCCGGTCTCTGGTGAGGTGATTGGCAGGACTGCGCACCCACATACCCTGACCTCCACAAAACCTTTTCATTGCACCCCTCCCCTCTCTTCTGCTCCCTGAATTCACCCTCTCCGTCCTCACCCCTTCTGTCTCCCTTCCCTCCATCTCTCTTCTGTGTTTTTTCCAGTCTCCCTTTCTACTTGTTCCCTTCTGTGATTTTTTCTTTTCTCCCACTTGACTTTACTAAATGGATTATAAGGTGAAACAAATGGATACTTTTAATTTCCACTGCATCTACAAATATATTTGTATGTTGGTTATTAATGAAAACAAAAACAAAAACAACTCAGGTTCTTCTGACCTCCCAAAATATTCACTAGCAAAACCCAACTGAAATTAGTCTGAGATGCTTTTAAGTTATGTGTGAACCTTAATAGCTTTTTTCCTGGGGGAGGGGGCTGGTGGCTCATGAGGGGACTCCAACACTGGGACACGACTTACCCGTTTGTCTTGGCCAGAACAGAAATAAGACATGGTGGGCCTTGCTTTATTCCCTGCTGTGGGAACACTAACGGAGGTCCCTCAAGCTAGGAAGCAGAAATACATAGCTTTTTCCTGGAATGGCCCCAGCATGCGCAGAGCAAGACAGTTCCTGGGGAAAGGCTTCTAAGGACGGTCACTCACATGTGCAACACAGGCCTTGCTTCCTCACGCCCATCAGCATGACGTGGCAGAAGTTACAGTAGGTTGGTTTCTTGAAGTGCTTCATGGTCCAGGCGTGCCTGCCGTCCCCCTTGGAGCCCTGCAGCGACAGCGAGGGAATGGGACATGGAGCAGGCAGCCCACGCTAGCAGAAGCCTGGGCCTCTCTCCCGTTATATGTCTTCTTTTTTTCTCAAAATACTGTCTTCTCATATTTAGAAGACAAGATATACATTTATTTTACTGATGTAAGGGATCTTTTTAAAACATGGAAATCAAAACAAAGTTCTCTGTGTGTGTGTTCTACAATTAGCAAATATTAACAATTAAGAATATCTGAGCAGGAGTATGTGTGTGGGGGATAACATTAGCCCCCTTGTACCTGGCTGGTGGAAGTGTAAATCAGAACAAACTTCTATCTATCTATGTATATATGTATGTAGGTATGTATGTATGTATGGTATGTATCTATCTATCCATCCATCCATCTATCCATCCACCCACCCATCTACCTATCTATGTATCTACATATGTATATATGCATGTATATATGAATGTATCTACGATCCTTTAAATGTTTATGACCTTTGACTTAGAAATTTCCTTTTTTAGATTCCATGCTAAAAAAATCATTTTTGAAAGAAAGATGAGCATTTTGTGTTCTCTCAGAAGTTTAACTCAGCATAATTTATTTAAAATAATGCAAAATGGGAAATATCCTAAAGGTCTTAAAATTACCAAAAAGTTAGTTGTGGTATAGTCATGTGATTTATGTTAAGTGGCCATCAAAAAGATATTTATAAGAATATCTAATGGCATGGGAATGTGCTCACGATACAACGCTAAGTGAAAAAAGCAGAATGTAAATTTGAGGATCTATTATCATCTCAGTTTTATATAGTAAGATCTTTGATGGGAAGAAATACCCAACTGTTAACAGAGGCTAGTTATAGCTGGAAGCACTATGAATTTGTTTTATTCTCTAATTTCTATTTTCTTTTGTATTTTCCAAGTTTTCTACAGTCAGTATGTACCAGTTTTATAATCAGAAAAAGTACCTTAGTAAAAGCAATGCTCCCTGTCATTAACTTTCTGTGCACAGATAAAATAGTTCAGAGACAGTCAGAGAGCCAAGACATTTCCTCTTGACTCAGCTCAGAAGTAAATGTGTCCTTATCCACTAGATAAGCCAAGTGTCATACAATCACACGCCTTCCCGGACACCAGCACTGCTGCCTTCTAACCCCTGGAAGCACAGCCTTGCTGGAGCTGTGGCTTGAGGGACATCCCTTCGCACTGCTGTCTGCTTTCTTAAAGGCTCCATCCAAAGAGCACTGCTCTCGGGCTGGTCCTTGGGGTAGTAAAAACTGCGATAGTGAGGTGGTGAGAACTGACAGATACACAGAATCCTGCATGCCGGACTCAGACCCAGTTCTTACTTTGGGGCCCCTCTAGTTTGCACTGATCACGGCAGCCCAACCCATTTCTGGGCCAAGTCTTCTGCTAACTGTCTCTAGAGGAGCCATATGAGTTTCCAAATGTAGGTCTTCCCCTGAGGCCAGGTTGAGCTCTTTTCTTCTCCACACCCTGACTCTTCTGAGATCTGAGTTTATAGAATTTCTACCTTTGAATCTAGTAGTTTCCATAAGTAAAGCTTCTAATCCAGTGTCTGACAATGAAAACTTACTAAGTTTCTACTCTGTGCTAGACAGTAGGAGACACAAAAATAAGTAAAGAGTGTTTTATTATGTGTAAAGAGGTAGATTTGTATCTGCTCTAGAAATGAAGAAATGGAGACTTAGAGAAGTTATATAAATATCCCAAGACACACAAATAACAAGTGACTGAGTCAGTGGTCAAATTGGGGCTCCTCGGCCTCGGAGCCCATTCTCCTTCCCTCTTCCCTCCCTTCCTCCATATACTAGGATTTTGCTTTTTGAAAGGAAACTACAACACTGTTCAGCAGACCCAAAGGACTGTCACTTCACCTGAAAATACTTTTACTAGCTAAATCAGTTAGCTGACTCTCCCTTTCTCAGGCACCATAGATTTGCCGTAAGAAGCAAAAGGACCTTGACTTAAGATAAAGTAACATTTCTGCTTGGGTTATAGCACCATCATGTGGCTCTTTCATTTCTGCACATTGGCTGCAGGATGTGGGAATAACCTTCCCTATGCATGTCTGCTGCTGCTGCAATTTCACGAGGAGACAGACTGGTTTGCATATATTGCATTCGGAGGTCCCCAGGCATTCCAGTGGCCATACATGGGTTTTGAAAAACCAAATAGGCAATGTGACTTTTCAGACATTTAAGAATGCTTTCTCTGAACCCCTAATAATAAATGTAGAAACTGATAGTTTAGTGCACATTTAAAAATAAATGCATAACACTTTTGACTAATAAAAGCTAAATTCATATTTGTTTTTTGTTTGCCACGTTCTTGATATAAAATTGGTTTTCTGTTACCCTGATTTAGCACTGGGAAGACATACTAGGGAAAATGGTGAAGAAATAGTCTGTTTCTCCCTCCTCCAGCCAAAAAGGTGGGTCCCCTCCATGTGGAGAGTTGGTGGCACTTCGGAGTCAGCACGTCCAAAATAAGAAAGCAAAAATAGAAACTGGTTTCTTATGATAAAGATGCCCCATCTCTACTTCCATATTTTAGCTGGAAAATAACAAAAACCAACCCAAAACCAAACACACAGGTATGTTGGAATAGCACCCAAAGCAGAACTTCTACTTTGATCCAGGTATGATCTTGAGTATGATAGCAGGCAGTTTATCCTGCTTATCTGAGTGGTCCTCCTCCCCGGGTCCTAGCTCACATAGGTTCTTGCATGTAATAGGTCCTTGGTAAGGGATTACTGAATGAGGAGTCTGCTGTTCCTGAACATGGAGGATGGCCCCTGTTAGCAACTAGGTGTGTGTTCTTGGGCAAGTCCTTTACTCCTCTGGTCCTCAGTATGCAAAGTGAAAGGGATAGATCAAGGTCATCAAAGTCTTCTCCAGCTCTGACTTTCTAGGGTACTAAGGAATAAGAAGAAAGTTGTGTAGATCTGGGATCCTTAATTTATACTTAGCATTTGGAAGGAACTGGACATGCTATGAGATGATTACAGGATTCCTAGTTCTTGAATATTGGAAATGAAGTCTTAGCTTTAGTCTTGAATTGCAGAACTGTCAGATGGAGACATTACAGGCAACGGCAGCAGTTAGAGGTTAGCCCAGCTGAATTTCCTGTTCTGTTCCTCTATATGACATTTCAGTAATTGCAAAGAGGTGCTGTCACACAGCCTGTGTGACTGTCCTGGTAAATGCTTAAAAGTCACCATTTGTAATTTTAGTTCTAATCTTTCCTAGCTCATGCATGACGGTTACTTCACTTGGTAAATAAGCAGAAAATACAGTAACTGACGAGGTCAGATGCAGGCATATATAACCATTAATTTTACATTAAGCCTCTACACGTATCCCCTACTCTGATCCAACTGGGAGGTGTCTCTAAAACACCTGAACTTTCTTTCATTTGGGTCTTTGATCAAGCTATTGTCTTGGCCACAAACTCTCTCTTCTACCATCTTCTGCCACCAAATCATACCCATTCTTGGGAACCAGATCAAATATCCTCCTAGGTCCTCCCACTTGACCTTTATCTCAATAATGGGTTATAAAAATCCCACGCATCCTTCAGGACCACGGCAAACACCCTCAGATATTTCTTCCCACCAGTCTCACTCCTAAGTGTGGGTTGTTAGGAAGTGAAGTATCTTTGGAGTTAAGTACAAATAAATTCTGAATCCTCATTTTGCTCCTTAGGCTAAGAATCTCAGCTTTCCACTTGTGTAAAGTGGGGGGAAAATACTTACCTTATTTGGTTGCTTTGATCACGCTCTGCCTCACAATAGAACAGTATTTTTTCCTTCCCTTCCTCCTTCCATTCTCTCCTTCCTCAATTCTCTTAGCATTAAAAAAAAAAATGTTTTTATTTATTTTTTTAGAGAGAGATAGAAACATTGATATGAGAGAGAAACATGGATCGGCTGCCTCCAGCACGCCCCCTACTGGGGATCAAGCCCACAACCTGGGCATGTGCCCTGACTGGGAATCGAACCAGGATATCTCAGTCCATGGGAGGAGGCTCAATCCACTGAGCCACATCGGCTGGGCTCTCTTGGTATTTTTAACCTAATTTGTGGGAAAGATGGAATTTTTCTTCGAATTTTTTTTTTGCCCTTTGCTTGTTTGTATATAACCTTCTGGTGGGTGAATATTGTATCGGTGTCCCCTCATAGAGCTCAGAACAATATCTTTAATTATTTATAATTTAGTACATGCCTTTCAAATGAATGAACATATTTCAGTCTCTAATAGGTAAAAAGAAAGGATGTTCGGGCTGGCCTAGAGCATGTGGTTTGACCACTGGGGCAGAAGCCAAGGTGATGTGTAGATACAAACTTCCACATAGAGCTTGATGTTCCTGAAAGGTAAGAGATCTTTGAACTCAGGCTTGCTGACTTACAGAGTCATCCATGCCCAGGAGGACCAGCAATGGGATGGTGGTCATCCCTCCGTGGACCCATTCCTGTAGAGACACAAAGCCGTCCCGGTCGTAGTCCATCCCTTGCAACATCTCCTTCAATATCTGCGGAATCCACAGAGCAGCAGTTGTCCACTTTCATCCTCGACTTCTCTATCCCACCTCTGCCCTCTTATTTCTCCTTTGTTCTGCATCGTCTGGCTTGTGTTTTCCCCTCTGCTCTGATTCATAGTGAGGAGACCAGAGCTCCAGACCTGGCTCTGCCTGACCTGACCGAGTGGCCTTGGGCAAGCCAGACACCCCGACTCTGGGTTCTGCTTTGCTCATCTGTAAAATGGAAATACTATTGGCATGTGTGCAGCACTGTAGTGAGGATTAGAGAAACGGTATATAGAATGTACCTTTATATAAAAAATAAAATCATTATTACTACCTGATGGTGGAGAAAAATCTTTAAAATCCTTCCTGGTTCTAAATTCTCTGATCTATGAACTCCTGCTATAAAAATTTAGTTCAGGTGAAAAGGTGAGGGGGAATTATTATTGGAATTATGTCTACTTTTCCCTGCGGCCTGTAGTTTTTCATATCAGAGAAGTGGGCGGTCAAGGTGTAGGCCCCCAGAGAAGCTGCCTATGAGAAAATGAATCTGGGAGACCCTGCCATTATCCAAGGATGTCCTAATTTCCTCTTGGAAGTTTACTCGGAAGTCACCCCATGTTTCCAGAAACTCACAGGCCTTAGCTCCGTGGGATCCCACTCAAGATACTGTGCAATGTGCAGCATTTGGTTGACAATACGATCCATCTCCTAGAAAATATCAAGGGGAGAAACCAACTGAAGATCTGTTTTGAAGAGCAAGGCTCAACATCAAACCCTGTGGGCAGATGGGCAGGGCATGTCACGGGACTTACTCCTTGCTTCTGTTCTTCATTTCTGCCTTGACCACAGGGCTCAGTGGAGAGTAGATGCTCACAGAAGATGGCTAAGCCCAAGGTATGCGGAAAGCTCCCTAAACACTGACCTCCTTGGACCCACCTGGGTTCACCTCCCTTCCCCTCGTCTGGGCTCTGACTGAGAGAGCATAGGAAGCACTCCTGCTTTCTCTTTCTGTGTGAGCTGCTCTCACAAATGCTCACAAACCAAGGCAGGTCTCCCCTCCCTCTTCAGTCATTCCTCATCCCCACAGCTTTAGCAGCTTGGGATCCATCTATATCCCTCAGAGGTCAGTTTCAGTGGGTGTAGGGCCACTGTGTGGGCCCCAGTTCAGACACTATGGTTTATATCCCTTTGGCATCTTCTCTGTTTCCTTTGTATCATGTCCAGCCCTGAACCCAGGACTCTGTGAGCCCGTGATTTATGCGGGGTTCATTGGCCTGGTGAGTGAGCCTTTTGTTTGCTACTTCAACCAGGCTCCATCTAAAGCCTCATGGAATTGTGGATGCTAATGGGTCAGGGCACTCAGAGTTCTACTGAAATACACTAGACCAAGGAGGTATTTTCATCTCTCGGGCACAATCTAAGAGGTTAATAGTATGATCAATGTGGAGAGACACATTGGTGAATGAAAGCAAGGTTAAAAAATGTTACCTCCACCAAATTGAATGCTGGATCAAAACAAGTAAGCTAAGATGCAACAGGAATTTAAGAAATTATACTTCTTTTTTAAAAAAATAATTCATTGCAAAACTGCAGATGAGGTGCTAAATGGGGGTAAAAAAGAAGGAGGAAAAGTGGGGACAGCGTTCTGGAAAAGTTCCAACGGAAAAGCGCTTGTGAATCTAGTCGGGACGAAGATTCAATGAGAAGACCACGTGATTCGGGAACTGAGATTTAGACTCAGCCCTGAGCTGTGGAAGTGGGTGGGCATTTTCGGGAAGCAGAGGAAGCCGATTTCAGGAAGGACTGGCTCACCTGATGTCTACCTTGACCAGGACACATGTGGATGATTAATGAGTCCTGGAGGGGTGGGTTCAGTTCTGCGCCGTGTTTTAAGGATGGCATCGACAAACCAGAGCGTGCCAGAGTGCACGTGTTCACCTGCCTCATGGGAAACAGTGTAGGAACTGGGAAATCTGAGCTTGGAGGACATTTCAGAGCAGGTGTGACGGTACCTTCAAATACCTGAAGGCTGAGTGTGTAGAATCGGTATCCACTAGTCTGCTGTCCTGGTCAGCTAGAGGGCAGAAGCTAGCTGAGGGGTATAGAGGGGGATTTGTTGAGGGTTGGCTTGTTTTGGCCTCACTGCTGGGTTGGGAAAGGGGGAGGTGAAAGGAGAAGCAGGTTTCGTGTTGAGAATTTCCCTGGCATACCAGAGGTGCCCCTTGTGTCGGAAGGAAGCTCTCTGTAAGTCACCCTCGGCAGTGGGGCGGCTGTGTTAAGGCAGTGGGTGAACCCTCCAATGTTGGGAGTGACCACAAAGAGACTGGGTGCCCAGCTACCAGGGATTCTTGGTGGGAAGTTGAATCAGGTAACTCCTTTGAGACTGCTTCAGTCCATTAAACACATCTGAAATTCAACCACATCTTAGGACTTGCAATAATTTTGCAAGTTATCATCATTTCTTGTCTTGCCGATTTCAATAACCTCCTACTTAGTATCCCTGCTTACACCCCTACAGTCTAGACAACACAGGAGGCAGAGTGATCCTGTTAAAACCCAAGTCAACCATGCCACTCCTCTGCTCAAAATCTCCAATGGTTCTCCATTTATCCAGAGTAAGACGTAAACCCTTCCAATCACCTAAAAGGCTTGTTAATGCTTTGTAATCTTCCTCCACCTCCATCTCACTTCTTCTCTGATCTCTCCTATTACTCACTCTGACCTCACCTGCTCATTCATTCTGCTACAGCCACTCTGGCCTCCTGTTAACATCCCAGGCATCCCTCAGGACCTTTGCACCCTCTGTTCCCCATCCTGGAAAGCTTTTCCTCTAGACTTAGGTGTTTCTCCATGACTTACAGTCCCTCACCTCCTTCAAGTATCTGTTCCGATGTGCCTTGCTCAGGGAGACCTTTTTTGGTTCTGCTAGCTGAAACAGCAGCCCCTCCAATACATCCCTCCATAGCACACATCTCCATGTAGCACATATTTTACCATGCTGTTCAGTGAGTGTGTTTGCACTAGAATGAAAGCTTCACAAGGGTATGGGGTTTTTAGTCAATAATTCTCACCAATATATGCCCTGTTTAGAATAGTGCCTGGCACACAGTAGATAGTCAATAAATATATGTTGACCAAATGCATGAGAGTCTGTGATTCTTTGGTTGCTCCCTTGCATGATGGAAGCGCAGCATTGCAGTGTGGCTGTAGGGCTCCCATAAAGACACTCTGGGGTTTGGAGGGAATTGGGAGGATTTAGTTTGTTTAGTGGACTTGCTCCCTTTCTTCTTTCCAGTTCTGACCCAGCCCTGTGCACCCCAACCTCAGAGCCTTTCTGTGAATGAGCCCACCTTTAACATTGCCAGTCATGAAGAGAAGGCCTGCCTGATGCTATTTGCCCTCTACCTCTGTGCCTTCTTCTTTTTCCATTTCCTCTCACTCCATGATCCCTGACTTATTGCTGCCTATTCCTGGGGCAGGGGCAGGGGGCAGGGGGCAGGGGGCAGGGGTGAGTCTCTGGCATTCCTGGGTATATTGAGATAGGATCATGTGCTCAGAGCAGACAGAACCAGACTCCTAGAGCTGGTGCCCTGGGGTATGAGAGGCAGGCAAGCGTGATGCCAAAGCACACCAGCAGTTACCTGACTTCCTCCACCCTCTTGCTCACCCACCTCCACCCCTCTGCTCCTGGACTCCAGCAGGAAACCGCAGGGAGAAGTTCTGAACCAATTTGGAAATTAAACTAGATAAGAAACTGAAGCATCTCCTCATTCTGAGATGTTGTAATCCTGGACTTCTGGTATGAAAAGGCAAGTTGGAGTTCACTCTCCTGCAGGCTGGCTCTTTGGAGATCGAAGGTGGGGGTTCTACTCATTTCTGTGGCCCATGTTGAGACATTGCAATTCTTATAAAGATAGAACTCTTATAACGAGCTTTCAGGCTGTTCCTCCACCTGTTCCCTTCTCCCCCAGCCTTTTCTGGATGCAGGAGGGTATTTGGAGAGCTTACCGCTTGATCCAGGAGACCGTTCTCATCCGAATCATAGAGACGAAACATGACTGCAAGAAACAGAGACGAGGCTTGAGGCATCTCCAGGCACCAGGGACTGGCTCAGGCTGCTGCTGCCAGTTTTTAGATCAGCTCTGACCACCACTGGAGCAAAGGCTTTGCAGACAGCTCACCCACCCTCCAAAGGGCAGAGTCGTACTTCTTACAGAGAAGTGGGGAGAGGAAGGAGAACCAAGTCGCCTGGCGTTTGAGACTGCCTAAGCAATAACTCTGTGGCTGATGAGATTCAAGCAACGAGTGACTCCCTGCAAAGCATTCGCACTTCTAAACATCACTGGAACGAGAGCAAATGCCCAGCTGGTGGTGAGGCAGGGGCACCAGAAGTATGAACAGAGCATTGCTTTTGTTGGAGTTAGGCAGATTCAAACCTTGGCTCTGCCCTACCACCTCTAGGGAGTCAAGTAACACATTCAGGCTTAGTTTCTTCATCTGTAAGGCAGAGATTATTATAGTTTCTTTGTCCTAGGTTTTTTAAAATGACTAATAATGTATACATCATATGCCAATCTTACAGTGCTTGGAATGCAGAGAGCACTCAACAGATGTTATTTATTTTTATTTCCTTAAGGAACATTTATATATGGCATTTAATAGGTACAGGCACTTTATCATTATTAGTCATTCAATCCTCCATAATGCTGTGAAGTAGTTACTATTATAGAAGCTTTGTATTTCTTTTTCTGAAAGAACAGCATGTCGACATGCCATTCACAAACACCCTCTGTCATGCCCTAGTTTAGAGGGGTGACGTTGGATAAGGAAGATCTGGGAGAGAAATTTGTGCAAATGACTAAATGTTCACTTATGGGACCTGGACACTTGCATTTCTTGGGTCTAAAAGATAGAGATCTCTCTGTGGTTTCAGAATTAAGCAGGGTGGGGAGCAGAGCTGAACGTGTCTTCATTTCCCTCCCATTCTTTAGCACTTCCTCATGCCTGCTTTCTCCGTGAGCCTCCCTGACCGAACCTTGCCCCCAGCCACCCTGGATCTCCCAGCATGCACCCACAGGGTCGCAGCACTTCTGTGAAGCTGCCCTTGTGCCGTCACTTCTTTCTGTGTGTTTTGATGTGTCTGCAATGTGTGTTTGTTCAGTGGTGCATCCCTGGTTGGAGTTCAAGTTGCTGAAAGTAGGGTCATGGGTTCTGATCCCTTGGGACTCCTTAGAATGTCCTTGTCAGAGGCACTTAGCACAGGTGGCTGACGCACCAGACAGATGGTTGAATGATGTAAAGAAGGACAGACCTCCTACTATGTTGCTCCCGGACCCTGGGCCTGGGCGACTCTGAGACTCTAACACAGAGCTCTCCTGGTCCTGTGGTGCATGAAGAGTGGAAGCGGAAATGTGAGTAAGTGCCCTATCTTTTAGCAGCTTGGCCTTTGAAAAGTCTTCTTACATGTAAAATGTGCTTTTTCACATGTAAAATGAGAATAATTGTATCGACCTTCTAGGATTCTTATGAGGTTAAAGTGAGATAATGCACTTAAAATGCTCAGCAAATAAAAGGTGGTCAATGATGAGAGTTACCATTAGTACTGCATTGGTAATAGATGGGGTTTCAGGCAATTATTTCCAAAAAGATACATGTTTGGTTATTAAAAAGAAAATCTTAACTTGTTTTTAATTATTAAAATCAAGAGAAAATTTGAATTTATTTGGTTTAATTTAAAAAACAAAAAACAAATGAAAACTCTACAGGACAAATGATCAAGTTTCTGCAACAAAAAATTGCAAGGAAAAAACTAAGCAAATGATTAAAAGAGACTGAAGAGACATAATGATCAATGGCAATGTATGAACCTTACTTGGATCCTGACTCAAACAATTAAAAATATGTAAGATAATTGGGAAAATGTGAATACTGACTGAATATTTAATAATAGTAAGGAATTGTCTTTGAATATGATAATGGTGTTGTGGTTATATTTAAGAAAGAGTCATATTGCAGAGGTATACACTAAAATATCTACAGATTAAACTATATGATGTCTGAAATTTGTTTCAAAATAATCTGGGGCAGAGGGAATGAATTGGAGGTATAAATAAACCAAGATTGACAATAAACTCATACTTGTTGAAGGTGACTGACAGGAACATTTAAATTCATTGTACTCTTGCCCTGGCCAGTTTGGTTCAGGGGTTAGAGCATCGGCCTGCGGTCCCAAGAGACCCGGGTACGGTTCCCGCTAAGGGCGCGTACCTCGGTTGCAGTTTGTCCCTGGCCCTGGTTGGTCGTGCAGATGGCAGCCACTGGATGTGTCCCTTTCACGTCGATGTTTCTCTCTCTCTCTGTTCCTCTCTCTCCTTCCCACTCTACCTGAACAAAAAATGGAAAAATGTCCTCAGGTGAGGATAAAAATAAATAAATAAATAAATAAATAAATAAATAAATAAATAAATAAATAAATTCATTGTACTCTCTACTTTTATCTAAGAATAAATTTTCTATAATTTTCTATATGTATATATACACATATACATCTGTGTGTGTGTGTGTGTGTGTGTGTGTATATATATATATATATATATATATTTTATCCTCACTGGAGGAAATTTTTGCATTTATCTTCAGATAGAATGGGAGGAAGAGAGGGAGGAAGAGAGAGAGATAAACATCAATGTGAGAGAGACACATTGACTGGATGCTACCCACACAACCCCAACCGGGGCCAGGGACAAACTACAACTGAGGTACATGCCCTTAGCAGGAACCGAATCCGAGACACTCTGGTCCATGGGCCAATGCTCTAACTGCTGAGCCAAACCAGCGAGGGCTATAATAATTTTTTAATATGCAGTTTCTTTTTATTGGCAGTACCAGACTCAATCTGAGAGCCACTAATATGAATCATCTGCCATATCCTCTTTGGTAGATATGAACAAATATAATGCCCAAAACTCAAAATCCAGCTGAATGGTGGAAATAATTTGACATTTCACTTTTAACATTAGCCAGAAGAAACAGAAATCTGCTACATATGCTCCCAAATTAGTGCTTCAGACTTGTAACTGTTAACACCTCAAATGTAATAGGGGTGATTTTAAGATCAGCTAATAAGCAAACTGTTTCATTTTGTCCTTGGCAATGGTTAACCTTTGTCAGACTTTCCCTTGCTAATATTTAAGTTTGTTGACTAGTCTTATTAACTCTGGAATAAAAAAAAATCCTCACCCAAGGATATGCTTTTTCATTGATTTTAAAGAGACAGGAAGGGACAGGGAAAGAGAGAAAAACATTGATGTGAGAGAGAAACATCGACCGGTTGCCCCCATATGTGTCCCGACCGGGGATTGAATCCCCAACCTATATACGTGTCCTGACTGGACCTGTGAATGACCCTTGGGTGCATGGGCTGGTGCGCTCCAACCAATGGAGCCACACTGGCCAGGGCTCATGCTGGAATTTTGACTTTTGCTATAATGTGTATGTTTTCCCTTTAATGTCCACTAAGGTCCTAAGAGAAGCCAAAACAATATACATATATGTTTTAACAGGGTCCTATTAGCACCTGTTTTAAAAAGTTATCCTGTCAGCTCTCGGACACCAGCGTGACCAGCCCCGGAGTGAACCTCCACACGACTGTGTCAGCCACCGTGGGCTTTCTTTTCTGTCACCAGCTATTATTTTCCTCCTGAACATATGTTTTTGAAACCAACTTTAGTAACAGCGTGAAACCAAGCTCAACTTCCTTAATTAACTTTCTGTATAGGCCCAAAAACTTGGGGTGGGGGTGGGTGAAAAAATGGAAATAAGCTTTAACAAGATGGAGGTTGATTCGATCTCAAGGGAAAAAAATTCCTCATAGTTACAGAGTTGCTTGGGCACAGAATAGGGGAAGGAAGATAGATGGTGAATATTTTCCCCTGAAAAACCTACTGAGAGGAGGCAGCAGCTTTCTGGGTGTAGACTCTCAGGAAGTCCTGCCAACAGAGGAGGGGAGTCTGGCTCCCTTGTGGAGACCCCCTTCCCTTCCAAATCCTGGTTCTCAGCACCAAGGTCTCGGATGCGCCTCCCACTCTCTATGCATCCGGTACTGTGCCCCAGGGTGGATCCCAGGAAATGTTCATATCACTGCTGATGGCAGGCAAAAAACCTCCCTGAGGGAGGCCGGGCACAGACCCATGGCCCCAGAACAATCTCCAGGATGTTTACAATGATGAGCAAGACACTAGACCTTCTTCTAGGAAAAAGTTGAAGCCCCTTGACAGGGTGAGCTACTTACACTCTAGCTTATCCTGAGGTCTCCCCATCTCCAGCAGGGACAGGTAACACACGACATCCTTCAGGTACACTGTGGGGGATTCTGAGCCTGAAGATTGAGCACCAGGGTTTTCCAGGGGGGTTGCAGCAGCTTGGCCTTTGCTTGCCACTTGCTTCTCAGGGATCTCTGATTCTGTAACAGGCAAGAGGAAACCATTTGAGGACACTTAATGTTTAGTAAATATTAAATCCTTTTCATGGTGGAGGCAAGAAGTTTATAGAAGTGTCTTCAGAAGCATTGGTTACATAGATATGATCAAATCAGTGGCCCCAGAAATCCAGTTTGTGGAGTTTATACTTGGAATGGACTTCATTCTGACTTTTTTTTTTTCTTTCTTTTTTTAAATCCTCACCCGAGGACATTTTTGCATTTATCTTCAGATAGAGCAGGAGGGAGAGAGGGAGAAAGAGAGTGAGCGAAACATCTATGTGAGAGAGACACATCGACTGATTGCCACCTACTCGGCTCCAACCAAGGATGGGGACAAATTGCAACTGAGGTACGTGCCTTTAGCGGGAACCGGGACTCTCTGGTCCGTGGGCCAACGCTCTAACCACTGAGCAAAACTGGCCAGGGCTCTTTTTTTTTTTTTCTTTATTGATATTAGAGAGAGAGAGAAAAAGAGAGAGAGAGAGAGAAATGGAAACATTGATGAGAGAGAACATCGATTGGCCGCTTCCTGCATGTCCCGCACTGGGGATTTGGCCCACAACCTGGGCATGGGCCCTGACCAGGAATCGAACTGGTGACCTTTTGGTGCATGGGTTGATGCTCAACCACTGAGCCACACCAGCCAGGGCATTCTGACTCTTTTAAGTGTTTATTTCTTTGTAGAAAATTCACCTATATCTGTGAATTTTCAGAAAAGATTATAGCAATTTTAGTAATATCAATAGACAGCAGATCAATGTCATTAGCCTAATTTTTGAGGGAACATAATGAATATGTAAAGGTAATTTTGGCTCAGATTTTAAAATTTAGACAATTGGTCATTTACCAATATACCTTTTCATAATAGTCTTCTCAAATACATTTAACAATATATTAAAAGCTGATTAGTGAAAAGAAGAAACTTGTATTGACACATCAACTAATTTCTAGAAACTAGGAAGAATTTTGACTAACTGCAAGCCTAATCAGTTGAATTAAAAAGTGGCTATTCTGCCACAGGAATAAAGTAAGTTTTCTCTCTGAAATTTTCCTTCTCCTAGGTAGGAAATCTCTCTGTGTCTTCCATACTCTTTGTCCTCTGGGTCAGAAATATAAGGTTATTACTAAGAAAACAAAGCACCTATATTTGACTGTGTGAGTTATACTTTTTTTTAGGCACTTTGAGTGCTATCTTTCTTCTCCAACCTCTCCATATCCATGCCCACTAAAAATCATCTCTGAATGTCCAATAAGAGGGTACCACTCACAGAAAACACTAAAGAGACCACATCAAATGAGAGTTTAGTTTCTTCCCCCAGCTTCTGCTTGGGAAACAGGAGAAAGCTGGGAATGTTCAACCAATGGTCTGACTTAGGTGTTTCCAGAACTTGGCTCGTCCCTGCTGGGTAGACTCCTCTCTGTGGTGTCTGCCTGGCCTGTGCCCTTTTTTTCTGATGAACAGGGACATCTGATTAAGACATCCACTAAAGGTGGCCTAACAGGACAAGGACTTTCTACGTTAAATCTTGAATCACACAAGAAGATGAAAAAAATGTTATACATCTCCCAAGACAGGAGACTGAAGGAGACTGATGTTCCCCATTCACAAGCAAAACGATATATCACAAACCACTTCTCTAGAAGGAAATCTCCTAAAGTTGCTCTCAGACCCACAATGATATAGATATTGTCAGTAAGTCAGTCAACTTCCATTTTCGTCATCAGTCATCTTTTCTCAAATATCACATAATGACAGCATCCCTAATAAGTCCTTCCTTGGTACCTCAGATACTTTGGCCCTAAAACAAACCATGCCCATACGGTTTTGTAGCTCGGGGAATGATATATAGCTTCTCTCAGGTTTGTCTTGAAGTTCAAATACTTGGACTAAGAAAGTCTCTGGATAAAATATTTGGGGCCAGCCCTGGCCGGTTTGACTCAGTGGTTAGAGTGTCAGCCTGTGGACCAAAGAGTTTTCGATTCCGGTCAAGGGCAGGTACCTTGGTTGCAGTTTGGTCCCCAGCCCTGGTGGGGTCATGCGGGAGGCAACCAATGAATGTGTCTCTCTCACTTCTCTCTCTCTGTCTCTTTCTCTCTCTCACCCTCCCTCCCTCCCACTCTATCTGACGATAAATAGAAAAATATCCTCGGGTGGTGAGGATTGAAAAAAAAATTGGGGGCCAAACTCTTTTCATAGTTGATTTTCTTGCTGAGAGTTTAGAATCTCAAAGCTTCCAGTTTTACCCTTTCCTCCTATCAGGAGAATGATTTGTGTCATAATATGGCTCTTCTATTCCACATAAGATTTAAGGTTTATTTGTGATTTAACTTTATTTACTCAGGGGGCAGTGTATAGCATGGTTGGGTGGGATGCTGGCGGGGGTTGGAGGTTGGGGGGTGGGTGGGTGAGCCCATACTTTGTAGAGTCTTGCCCGGCTGCTGTCCCTGGAAGCCCCAGGATGGCGCAGATGCTCTGAGTCCTTGCTTTCTGGAGCTCCGTGAGTAGCCTGGATTTACCCAGCTCATGGCCCAGAGGCAACTCTCCGTTCCCAACCCTGTTCTGCTTTCCACCCACAGTGAATTTCTGATCCCAACAGCTTTTCAGTTAAACGCTGAAAACGTGATAATCCTTCTAGTTACACTTTTGCCATGACAGGAAAAAAGATTCAAACTATATCTAGTATCCATTAGAAGAAATTCTTTCATCGGAGGTTCCTGTTACAATGAGTTCTCATTCAGTTATATTATTTCATATCTATCGTGTTTTATATATATTTGAAAGATACAATAAAACTGTATCCTATATTCCCTGGGCACACCCTAAGAGTTGGAACTCATTAATGTGACTCAGTCTTTTACAGACAATAATGAATAAGAAATTAGGTCGGGCTTTCTGACTGTTTGTATTTAGAGCCCCAAGGGAACCTGGGAGGGAGAGAGCCTCTGAGTGTCCTTCCATGGGAATAAGATGTCCATCTGATACACTTGAAAACTGAAGGTGCAGACTGAAGGAGATCTTGGCAGAACATGATGAGTTAAGAATAAAGTGTACTCACCTGAAACTAATATAATATTGTATATCAATTGTAATTGAAAAATCAATGAAAAAATGCATTTCTAAGGAGTGGCCTGAATAACAATTGCTGATATTTATTGAATACTTACTATGCTTCAGGCACTGTGCTAAGCATTTTATACATATAACTAACTCACAACCTCCATAGCAACACATTACCATTTTATGTCACAGATGGGGAAACTGTGGCACAGAGTCATTGTAGGAAACAGCAGAAGCTTTGAGGTTGGAAAATTCTGGATTGAATCCCCAGCTACACAAGCCATATATTGGCTTATAAATTCTTAAAGCCTCAGTTCCTTAATGTGCAAGGTGGTGTGATTGTGAAGGCTGAATAAACCTGTAAGAAAGGAGGTGCCTGGCAAATAGATCTTCAAAACTGTCAGCTGGTTTCCCTAACTCCTCCTCCCAATTTACTCAAACCTGCGCATATGAACGTTGTTGGAAGTCAACCAGAGCAAACTCTTACCTTCTTGCCCTACCTGCCCCCCGGCCATCCACTGGTAGAGTCATCTGTGCCTTAGCCCAAGAACTGTCACCCAGCCTCAGAATCCCAGCACACTGTGTGGCAGGTGCCCCATAGATGGAGGCAGACAGGATTAGCTCGGGGCATACAATTTCATGGAGACAGAGATGCTGGTTAGGTTTCCCCCCTCCGCCCTAAGAATGAGGTCTTCCCCACTCCTCCCCAAATCTTGTATTCCAAAGACTTACCTGTGTCAGGGGCACAGGCCTCATCCGCTTTGGCAGCATTATCCACATTCTGTATATTAGAATCTGAAGAACAAAGAGAAGATTTAAAAGCCAGTCCATGCCTTCAGCTTCTTAGAGGGGCAGGTAGGGGACTTTCCCTTAGGCCTGGATCACTGGGGTGTATATGTGTTTCTGGGTGTCAGCTGGGTTCATGCTTACTTTTGGGGGTTGGCTATGTCTCCCCCATTATATTTCCAGGAAGCAGTGACCACACCTTACCCTTCCTCTGACACTCCCAGGCTGATCCCAGCCTAGGTACACAAGCTTTATGTGCTCCACCCATGGGGTTGGCAACCTTTGCAGAAGGCTCTCTTCTCTCTGATGTACATTAGCCTGCCTCCTCTTCCCTCCATTCTCCCCTCTGATCCTGAGTGGCAGGATTATGCCCTCTTTTACCCCTCTTACTGAGAGATCCATCGGACAGGGCTTCCTGTGAGGCCCTGTGAGGAAAGGAGCCCTCGCCCTGGCCCCAGCCACACCCCGTAGGGAAGTTACTATTCCTGTGGCACGTGTGTTAGAACTGCGAAACCCCTCTTCCACACTGGAGAATGTTGGTCCATGTACCTGGGTCACTGGCCTCGCTGTTGCTGGTCCCCTCCTGTGGGTGGTCAGGGATCCCCTGTCTGGGCTTCTGGCTGAAGGCCAGAAAGAGGTGATTGCTCAGTGGCTGGGGAAGGTCCACCTCCAGGTATGCCCTCATGAACAGCTTGAAGACATCATAGCTGATTGTCTGAGGAGGGACACAGAGGGCAGAGTCAAAGGAGAGACGCAGAGGACAGAGAGGAGGGAGAGAAGAAGAAGGAATCGGGGAGCTGGCAGGAAGGGAAATGGCGAAGGAGACAGACAGAAGTGGCGAGGTTGTGGGGGCAGGAATGAAAGGCCAGTAGGTGAGAGCGAACCACTGGCACAGGGAGGATGTCAGGAAGAGAACACACTGGCAGCTGCCTGTCAGGGCTTAGTGGGGCACGGAACCACAGGAGGCTTTGTAACAAGACATTGCTAAATTTAGGTGGAAAAGGGAGCGAGGGGAGTGAGTGCTGGGAGTGAGGCCACAGTGCAGGGCTCTGCCTGAGGGCAGACCCACATGAGGGGCCGTCTCTAATGAGCAGGACTAGGTCAGTGCCCTGGAATCCTGGTTAAGGTGCCTGTCGCTGAAAATACGATGGAAAAGAATGGCCCTTCTATAATGTGTCAGTTTCCTCCCTGTGCTGTGAGTAATGTAATTCCTGAGTATTTAGGTCTCAAAAAAGAGGAAAGAGCTGGAGGAGAAAAGGACAGTCTCCATCCTTTATCACTTTCATAATGGGCCTTCCCTGGACAAACCTCAAGATAATAGGGGACGGTGTGTGTCTGGTTCACCTGCTCTCCAAACATGTCCTTGTGAAGGTCTTAGGAACCAAGAGAAGAGCCAGGATGGAAGGTAGAACCAAGAAACAAGCCCCAAACTAGGAGCTCCCCCTGCTGCATCTCCCATCGCTGCCAGGCCACAGAGGGCGGCTGCACGCAGCAAGCGCTCAACCACAGTTTGCAGTGAGTCATCACTGGCTCGTGCTTCGATGGCATCAGATTCTTCATCAAATCGGCAGATGCTCCTGGAAATCATTTGAGGAAGCATTACTCCAAGATCTGCTGTGCAGGCTTTTGTGAATAATAATAGCCATGGGAATAAAATCCCTTGTTGGGAGCCTGCTTGGCTCTCCCTCTAAACTGTTGACAGCATTTAACCCTTTGTCTCTCCTGGAGGCTCTGGGAGACTTCCCAGAACCAGGAGCTGGCTTGCATGTGTGACATCAGGTTTGGGATACAAAGTCTTGGCCCTAAAAACAAGTGATGCCTCCTGACCCCACTGGGAAGTCACAGGCAGTTTCTACTTAGTTCCAGGCCCGGCTGTTCTAAACGTCTCCTTTGCAGATTGGAGGAAGCTTCATTTGGTTGGAGAAAGGATGATACAGGCTTTTACCAAGTAAAGGGATCTCTAAGCAAATGTTGGGCTCACGTTTCCTATAACAGCTACTTATCTCTGTCTTTATCCCTCTCTGTCTTTTCTGTCCCTAAGTCTCCATGTCTCTATTTCATCCTCTTTTTGTCAGTCTCTCATCAGCACAGAATATCTCTTCCTCGCACATCCTCCTCCTTTTTTGTCAGTATGAGAGAGCAAAATCTTTTCCAACTACTTTCTACCCAGTGTGACCCTTGACTCCACCCTCCCTGCCCCTGATGGCATCTCCCTGCATTTGCTTCTCTACCTGCAAGCATGTTCAAGGTCACTACTCCAAAGAAGTTGCAGGCTGGCCAAGCTACTAGCCTGTTCTTCGTTCCTTCCCCTTCAGATTTCTCCAAACAGACCACTTCAGGTTCCTCACCTTCGTAATCACATTCGCGTTGGATTCTAGCCCTCTGAACCCGTTCTTCTGAAGGTCACAGATTCACTTGTCTCCTTTTAGACTTTCCCATCTTTGGCTTCTCTGCAGCATCCCATGCATTTTGCTTCTTCAAACTCTCAATTTTCCATGGTCTGGTAATATTTTGGTTCTCTTCTTTGATTTCACTAAAGTGTTTGCTGATGGCATTGTTATTCATTTATTTTAAAAGCTCCTTTTGCACTGTTTTTTTCTTTTGCACTATTTTAGTTGACACGTACTATTTTATTTTATTTTATTTATTTTATTTTTATTTTTTATCCTCACCCAAGGACACTTTTCCATTTTTTGTTCAGATAGAGCGGGAGGGAGAGAGAGGAACAGAGAGAGAGAGAAACATCGATGTGAAGGGACACATCGAGTGGCTGCCACCCTCATGACCAACCAGGGCCGGGGACAAACTGCAACCGAAGTACGTGCCCTTAGCGGGAACCGAACCCGTGTCTCTCTGTACCGCAGGCCGTCGCTCCAACCGCTGAGCCAAACCGGCCAGGGCGACACGTACTATTTTAAAATGCAGTTTTGAGTTTCAAAATAAATTTTTTTTTTTAGTTAGCACCAAATTGAAAACTACTAGCATAAAATATTTCTGGAAAGTAGACTGTACTAAATGATTTAATACAAAGAATATTTAGATAAACAAAGTCTAGTGTAATGCTCTTACAAAAACCAAAGCTAAAAGATCATCAAATAAGGTCAGTGTGAGATTCAGATCTCATGACTGGCTCCCCATTTTTGAACCTTAGTGTGTTCTTCAGCAATTTGTGAGTGCTGGACTAAGAGACCTCAAGTTCTAAACTTCTATTTTCTTCCTCCCTAAACCAGCTCCTCTTCCTGACCCGGCAGCTTCTATTAATGTCAATGACATCATTATTCTCCCAACATTCCAGGCTCAGTTTTGAACTCCCAGTAGTCTGAGACTAGTTCTTGTCTCTTCCTTCTGTCTGCTGTTCTTTTGCAACATCTGTCACATCCAGGTCTACTTGTGTCCATTGCCCATCTACTGGCAAGGGGTCACTGAAGGCCCCATTGACCCCGGTTTCAGACTTCTGTTGCATGTATCCTACCTGCTCCATGGCAATACCTCTCAAAGGCTTCCTTGCCTCCACCTCCGTCTGCTGGTCATCCCATCTTATCCTTTATTGCCTGGTTGATCTTCCTGAAGCAGAGTGCTTCCCTACTCAAACATTTTCATGGCTTCTAATTGCCCATTAGGAGAGTTGAGATCAGTTATCTTCAAAATTTTGAAATTATGTATCCCTCTACAACATTTTAAAGCATGCATTCCAATTTATCTTTACTTATAAGTTACATACATCTACTACTGTGCTCCTCTACTATAATTATAAAACACATACAAAAAAGAAGTTAGAAAATAGAAATTGGATGAAATAAAAATCAATGTAAATAGAAGGTCTAATATGTAGTGTTTCCATAGTACAATGGATCATCCTGTGCACTTCCTGAGTTGTTGAGATTCACAGCCCTCCCATAACCCCACTCCAACCTCAATTCGTAGCTACTTCAAGCTCTGAGACCATTCTGGTCTGTTCTATTAGTGCCTGTGTATACCTCCACACTGTCTATACTGATTTGTGTGTTCCTCCCTGGCCAACCCTCCATGCACTTTACATGAACTGCTTCTGTCTCTACCATGAAAATTCTAGCTATCCGTTAAGGTCTGATCCATATTCCACCTTCTCCAGGAAGCCTGGTATGATCTCCTGTGCCTGAATTGCTGTACTTTTCCACCTTGGTTCCTGTTTTGAGACACCCAGATCTGCTGCTCGCTATTAATGTATAGTTGTCCGTGATATACCTTTGTTCCTTGACCACATGAAGAGCTCCTGGAAGGTAGTGAAATGTCTTATTTCATCTTTGTATCCCCCACACTACCAGGCACAGTGTTTCCTGACAGGTATTTTAATGAATGTTGGATTGCTAATCAGTACAGTTGGCTGTCATCAATTATTGTGGGGTCCATTCATTCAACATATACATGCTGAGTCTCCTAAGTATAAGACAGCGTTGGAAACCACTGAGGAACACACCAATTAATTAAGCACGGGTCTACACCTTCAAGAGACTTGGTGATATAAAACACACACACACACACACACACACACACACACACACACACATTATTAAAGGTATATATAAATATAAAAGATACTGAAATAATTCTAAAACCGGATTAACAGTGCTGAGTACCATAGGAAAAGAACTGACAAAGTGTTTTGAGAACTTAGAAAATGACAAGGACTAGACACATATTCGATTATTTATGTCCCTATCTTGTGGAATATGATGACATAAAATAAACACAGGCACACAGAGCATTCTCATCAGAAGAGCTCAGAGGGGACTAGATCCTCATGTCACTAGAAGTTCAGTGATTTCTAGCCCCCACCCCCACCCCACCCCTGCTGCCCCCAGCTAGTGGCAGAGTAAAACCAGAAGCCAGATCTTCTGACTCCTGTTCCAGTGCTCCTGCTTCTGTCTGTCAGAGGTCTCAGTGCTGACACCATGTCCCTCCCTCTAAACACCCCAATTTTAGTGGGCCAAGAAATGTGACTGTGTGCCAATGTCAAATGATGCATGGATTATGAGAGTAAGCCCCCCCCCATCTCTATATATTTATTGCATTCTGTAAATTTACACTGATACCTCCAATAAATTGTAACACCACAGTGTTCATTCTCATTTTCTCCCTTTTCTGTGAACACAGGCCAGGCTCAGAGTAGCTGGTTAGTAAACGCGTGATGGATAGGCAGCGGCTGGGTACTATGCCCAAACCAGATAACTAATTGCTATGAGGCACATTGGCAATTCTCTGAGCCCTGGAGTAACATTGTAGCCACTGTCATTGTTCAGGCCTATTTTCTTCCCCGCAGAAACTGCAACTTCCATGCAAGAAGTAGCTGAGCAATTGTTGCTGCAACCTGTGTAAAGAGAGTGTGTTCATTCTTACACTGGTCAAGAAGGACGGGAGAACTAGATGGAGACCTGCATCAGGCACTTTACACATGTGATCTTTCTTAAGTCTCAAAACAACAGTGGGAGGTGGGACTTTCACTGCGATTTGTGGATGAAAAAAATTCTGAGAACATAAATAACTTGCTCAAAGTCATAAAGCAGTGTCAGAGTTGATTTGTGCCTAGGTGTGTCTGAGCTGCAGATCATGGTGCCACCAAACCACTGTGTCCCTTTAGTCTGATGCTCATGTCCACTTCCTGACTGTCTTCGCTGAACTCTGCTCACCAGAGAATCACATGGTGCTGATGGGCCAGGGCATGCTTGTCATGGCCAG